TTTCTGAATTTTTAAGGACTTGTGATAATGTTCATGAGCAATGACTTTTTGTTAGCTCACTCATGGAAATTTTGCAAAATGTTACATAAACTTCGACGAATTTCACCAAACTTTCGCACGAATTTCGATCAATTCCCATAATTTTCGCAGAAGCTTCACAACTTTGAATTGCAATGAAAAAACGTTCTTGATCCCACTATTTTTCACCGGTCCTCAAGGTGGAGTGGCGGCACTTCTTCGACGACAAGCACTTGGACCTGGACAACGGCACCTTGTCCGGCCCTCTGCGCGACCTTGCGAACCGGGACACCGACGTGGTGCTGGGCGCCCTGGTGCTCACGTCGGCCAGGATGAGGCACTTCCGGGCCACGGCGCCGTTCTTGCACACGCCGGTCTTGGTGACGGGCCGCTGCCCCGACGTGCGCGTGGCCTGGCCGCGCGTCTGGGAGGTGGTGCTCCGCAACCTGTGGGGCTCGGGGCTGCTCACCTTCACGGTGCTCGGCGCCGCGGCCACCGTGGCCCTGCGTGTGGCCGTCGCCCGCGTGCACCGGTAAAACACACACTGCCAGAAAAATTGTGAATGGTACGACAAATGTACAACAAAAACTGTGAAATAAAAGTACATCATGGAATGTAGAAAGTACAACGAGACTTGTACAAACCACAACGAGGCCTGGACTGCACAGCACTCCTTATGCCGGTTCCATTGTACTGTGTACAACAATTGTTGCACTTTGAAAGTACAATAAATTCCTGATAAAAAAATTGCCAGAAATTTGTGTACTTTTGTTGTGGTTTTTTCTTGCAATGCAGGCACAAAAACTCGACCCCTCTTTATGTGCCGCGCGAGACAGACTCGACTTACTTTCTCCAGCTTGCGACTAGACACAGTTGACTATAGACTTTAGTCTGTAGTTTTGGAACCAGTTGAGTTGTTCTTACCAAAGATTTACAAAAATGTGCCAAACGTTCGTCAGAACGAAGCGGCAAGTCAAAGTGGTCTGTGTCGCGATCTTTCTCACGGAGCACAAACAGTCAGGATCTTTCTCACGCGACACAAATAGTCACAGTATTTCTCAGAGTCGAATTTACGCCCCTGGAACGACGTGAATCCTTTCGTGCACTCGGAAGAGGCGTGAATAAGCACGGGACTTCTAGGCCAAAATTAAATGCCCTTTCGCAGGCATTACGTCACTCCGCTCTTGGAGGGCGTATTAACTTGTGTCCCCAGAAACTCAAGAGAGTGCATGGCATGCTCCACCTGGGAGTAAACTACAAAGCATCCTACAACCTGGAGAGTGCTTGTCATGAATGCTCCAGGTGAGAGTGTGGTTTCCTCCCAGGTAGAGCGAGCTTGCAAGCACTCTTAAGCGTGCTTTGTGGTGGAGGTGGAGCATGCCATGCACTCTCTGGAATTTTAAGAGTAACGCCGTAGTTTGAATGCCCGTTTCCACCAGTGTGTCAGGTGGAGCTGCGCCGGGCTGGTGGCTGCAGGTGGTTGCCGAGGCCGTGCTGGACCACTGGGCCAAGGCGTTCGAAGTCCCTGCTCCGGTGTGCCGGCTCTGCCCGGACGTCTGGTCCGCCCGCGTGCTCGGCGGCGCGTGGCTGCTGTACTTCCTCAACACCAACGTGGCCGTCAAGGGGCTGCTCTTCACCGAGAGCGCCGCGCCCCAGTGGACGCCCTTCCCGCAGACCGTCCAGGAACTGGTGGACAGCGTGCCCGGCCTCACCGTGGCGGTCGCGTCCGAGACCTCGCGCGCCATCCTGGAGGAGGCGGGCGTGCCGCCGCGTCAGATCATCACCTGCGAGACGCCACTCGAAGTGACTCGCTGCGAGGACCGCTTCGCCGAGGAGCACAGCTTTGCGGTGGCCACGTCCGCCCAGACCTCGCGCTTCAACTGCATGCGGGGGTGTCGCTACCAGTTGCCCGTACAGGTGTGCTGGGCCGCGACGATGGGGCCTATGAACAAAGACCGATGTCCTTTGGGTCGCTCGAACAAAGACCGATCTCCATTTCCTAACCTCTCAACGCGTTCATTTTTAAGTCCCAGAACAATCTCGACGTTTCGATTCCCCACAAATGAGTTTTAGATAATCATCCTCTAATATGTTTGAAACATAACCTGCAAACTAGTGTTAGACTTGGATGTCTGTTGCGAGAAATACTAGGTAAAGAAGCGGTGAATGCAGAAACGGCCGAAGTGGAGATCAGTCTTTGTTCGAGCGGCCCGAAAGACACCGGTCTTTGTTTATAGGACCCTCCAATCATTATGCTAGGAGCACTGCAAAGTGTGGGACAGTGTCACATTATTTTGTTTCAGTCAACCGCAATGTAACGTATTTATCCAAGTGTAAACCACGTTTGTCCCACGCTTGCAAGTGTGCGACACGACACGGTTTGTCCCTCACTGGTCCAATGCTTGCCATGCTTGCAAGTGTGAGTGCAAACCGTGTCTCACTAGTAAGTCTCAGACATCCGAGGGGTGAATCACTCAGGGTTCTGGTGTACACATGAGTACACCTTCCTTTCCTCATAAATTTTACATTTGTAAACAATTAAAGGCTTAATTTAGCATTTTAAACGACACGACGCCAAATCGGTCGAAAAACTAGTGAATTTCGCCCTTTTTAACCTTGCGAGTACACTGAGTACGGGCAAATTTGTACACATGAGTACACTAGTGATTCACCCCTCGCAGACATCAGTGTCTCACACTGGAAACCAACGAATGTGTCGTCATATTCGTTCGAATGTTAATTTTGTCACGTTCGTTTGAATATGATGTCACATTCATTTGAATATTGATCAACATTCAAACGAATGTGACACCCTACTTAAACGGCCTAGTCACGTTCAAACGAATGTGACATCATATTCAAACTAACCTGACAAAATTCACACTCCAACGAATATGACGTCACATTCGTTGGCTACCAGTGCACCCTTGTAAGCGCGAGACATTTTGGCTCACGGCATATAAGTGAATGAGAGACTGCCGTCTGTCCCACACTTGGAATTTGCAGTGAGAGGCGCACTTCGTTGAAACGCCTTTCTTCACCATGCATCTAGATTGGAGTAATAGTGTGGTTACGCCCCTATAGGCTTCAGGGAGAACGTAAGTGCTAGTACACTTGAAGAAAGGTACATTATGCTTGAGTTTTCTGTGCGTACAGCGAGGGACCCGGGCGGAAGGATCTGTAGTCTGAACAGCACTTCTTCACTTGCGTTTTACTTAACTTAACTTAATGTTTTAAGTAACTTTGAATTATAAGAAAAGTGGAAGAAAAGCCAAGAATTTTCTGTGTTTAAACTATTCTGTAACCGTAATTTTCTACAAAAAGACTATAGAATTTTATACAAAAAGTGTAGAAAAACTGCAGAAAAAGTACCAGTTTTTTCGCCCAACTGCAGTTTTGACTACAGTTTAAACCAATTGTAAACTGCAGTGAATGTACTTATTAAACATAGTTACACCTACAGAATTCACTTAAAAAACGAATGCAGTTAAAGTGTAGTGTTAAAAGTACGTGTTTAAAAAATGAATTTGAACGTTCAATTTTCCTACTTCTGTTACATTCTGTTGCCCCCTTCGACCTTCCATGGTCAACTTCCTTCTTGTCTGATGATGAAATCAGATACTTTGCAGGGAATCGAACCTCGCATCTTTTGGTTGCGGACCAAGTGCCTTATCCACTGGTCTACGCCACCTGCCTGGGAGGGACATCCACCCAACGTGATCACATAATAAGGCCTGGTGCCGCTGGCATTAGCAGGGAAACTCAGTTAAAACTGCAGTTTTTCTTCAGATTCTTCTGCACTCTCTAACCACGACACTACCATGCAGTCTAACTGCCTAAGAACTAGTCATCAACTGCACTTACTTCTGTACTTCTTATCTATTGTAGTGACTATAATTTAAACTAAGTCAAAACTGAAATCTTTCTGTAGAGGCGCTCTGTAATAAGGCTGAAGACCAGGAGAGCAATTTATTATTAGTTTAAAGTCAGTGATAAATGCACATAAATAGAAGTTTTCAACTCTAATACTTTTGCAGTTACTTTTGAATCCATAGTACTGTTCCAATACTGCAGTTTTTCCAATGAGTTCAAACTACACTTGAACTGCAGATCCTTCCACCCGGGGAGGAACAGCTTCCCACATTCATTTTGCAAAACTTACAACACATTCCACACTCAGGTCGCAAAATTGCCTGTGTGGCGAATGTGTGCCTGAAATCTTGTACACTCTTCCACATTACAATCATGGGTACGCAAAATTTTACAGTGGGTCACCTCTCGGCGTGCAGCTGTTCCAGGCCAGCTACTTCAACTACGTGAGGAAGTCGTTCCCGCTGGCTGACCTGCTGGACACGACCATACATCGACTCCAGAGCGGGGGCGTCATCGGGAGGGTGCTGCACTTGGACATGGCCAGGAAGAGGCACACCGCCGCCAGGAGCCTGATGAGGCACTTAGACGCACAGCGCCCGTCCACAGGGCAGGCCATGGTCGCAGACTTCCTGCATCTGCTCTCGGCGGGGCTGCTCGCGTCGACGGCGGCGTTTCTGGCCGAGATGGCGTCACACAGATTGTCACAAAGATTGTGACTTCAAATGCGTAAAATGAGTACTTATTATCTGCGGTTGTTAATAAATTGAGTAGTGGTTGTCGGCTTTCGTTATTGGTATTCTGTTTATAGTGTTTACGGCAAGGCTGAGGTGATATCAGCATTTACTAGAATCCATGATTTTTATAAGCAGTTGCAGTGGCAAAGGTCTGACTAGCAAGCTTGAGAACCAAAATCCGGGATGTTTAGTGTCGTCACGTTCTTTGCAAGAAGGCACAAGATTCTATTCATTTCAGACGCGCCTTCCCTGCTGACATCCTGCGTCAAACATGTCAAGTGAATTGCCCCGGTGCGCTGTAATGTCTGACAGAGAGAGATCTAATGCCGCCTACCGATGTGTTCGGAGAAGAGGGTTACTGAAATCGAAGTCACGTGGTCTGCCTCCGATAATTTAATTAGCCATTTCACATAACTTTACAAGATCCTTCTTAACAGGAATATACAAAATAAGAGAAACGTGAGTAACACACACACACAGCAACTAGAATATAGCAAAAGGCACGCACACCTGTAAGAACGCAAGGGTTGCAAAAAACAATGGAAAAGAAATGTTAACAAAACAAGAGGCCGGTAATTCCAAGATTGAAAATGGAGGGAGTGCTTCAGCCTAGGGCGCGGCCCTCCACCAGAAACGGTGACTTCCAGTGCACAATGTCGTGCACGACACGACCTGAGAGAGGAAAAGAAGTTGTTGCGGCATGGAACCGGCTTCAAATATAACAAATGCACAAAAAAATCAAGAACCTGACCAAGTTAAAATATAACAAATGCAAAAAAAAATCAAGAACCTGACCAAGTTAATATATAACAAATGCAAAAAAAAAAATCAAGAACCTGACCAAGTTAAAATGTAACAAATGCAAAAAAAAAATCAAGAACATGATCAAGCCAAAATATAACATGTGCAAAGCGTGCATTAACTAAAAATATCAACAAATAACATATAAAAGATATATTCATAAATATAAATAACAGGAACATCGCAGGCAGTCGCGTAGGAAAGAAGACATTATGTTAACATACTGGTCATGAAAAAGAGAACAAAGAAGAAAACAACACGAACAAAACGAACAGTTTCGTGAGCTACAATAACTTGACGAAGACTTTTCTTCGGCCAGGGTTTATTTTTCTACGCTTCACTTTTCTTCAACGAACGTTTGAACAGAAACCGGCAAATCACCAATATGTACTACGTAAGTATAACCTTAAGAACCAACACCAAATTGACAACGGAAAAACAATTTTCCGTTCAGAGGACACGTAAAAGACGTCATTCAACAGTTATGACCTCTATGACCTTGTCCTGGGTGTGGTAAGCTCGGCCATGAGCTCGAAGATTGCTAGCGTCCCGAAAAGCCTTACAACAAATATTACATACGAAGGGCTTCTCTCCAGAATGGATTCTAGAATGATTTCGGAGAGAGACAGATTGCGTGAAAGCTGTGCCGCACGTTTTGCATTTGTATGGTTTCTCTCCTGTGTGGATTCGGACATGTTTTGATAGGTCCGAGCCATGTGCAAACGCCTTATGGCAATACACGCACTTGTAAGGCTTGTCCCCTGTGTGGGTTCGAAGGTGCGATGAAAGTTGCGTTTGCTGAATAAACTCCATTTCACAGACAGGGCATTGGAAAGGCTTCTCCCCGGTGTGGGTTCGATGATGGTTCCTCAGATCATGGTGGTGTGTGAAAGCTTTATCGCAAATCCTGCACGACCAAGGCCTGGGCCTCGAGCTCGTTTGACGTGCCACGAAACTGCTCGCGAAGTCCATAGCGCTGCCTCGTTGATACGACCTGTTGAACAATTTTGTGTCAGTTAATGGTCAAAACAAGTAAACAATTCCGTAAAGTCCCAAACAGACGTTAATTTAGTGGACATTTTAAGTGATTTTAAGAAGCTAACGATGTACTCTCAAAAAACCTTACAAACTATTTCAGGCCTTACAAAGCAAAGCAGTTTGTTAGAACAAAGCATTTTGAGCATACATAAGCTTACAAAGAGAATACTTGGTAAATTACGAACTATTTCGTATAACAAAGAAAAAAGGTTTCACGTAAGTATGCTCAAAATACTTCTTAAGGTTTTAAAGGTGTACGTAAATATTCATCCAACACCCAACATCAGGTATCACCTAAAGCAAAAAGGAACGGAATCTTAAGTGAATAAAGGTTCAGGAAAATATATTGGCTGAGCGATGACGAAGGGGCCTTCCAGGGCCGATTGACAGTGACATTTTCCATCATGCAAAAATGAAGAACAAGAAGTAAATAAACCGGAAACTGATCACTGAGAATGAGATTCATTGCCATTGCCCTTTCATTGGGTGACGCACGTACCGCCGCCCACTTGTGGGTTACAAGTCAGTGGTGACTTAATGTTGGACAAGTCAAAAACTCATCGCCCGACTTTGGGAAGCGGACACATGGGGGCATCATGTAGGGCTCCGTGCGTGAGGACGTCCTAGGGGACGTCACAACGTAACCGACGACGTCACTCAAAATTGGGCAACAATTAGCGCGGTACCAAATTTCGGGTGATAAATTTTTTGATACTCTCCATTGGGCACCAAAAGTTGTATCGCCCATTTGAAAGGTGATGGTGGTGGCTAATTCATTCTCAGTGCAATGAGCCATTTTAGTTTTTTGCACTGTAAATAATTCTGTACTTTTGTACGGACATGTACAGACGAGAATGGTACGGAAGTACGGAAAAAAGTACGCAACGTCCGTACTTGTCCCACAAGAACTCATGTAATCAGGTACGGAATAATAGTACGGACGGTTTAGGCAAATTGTTGACCAGACACGTTCCGTACTTTTTCTGTCCTTCTTTCTCGCAGTGCCAGAGTATATGTTATAACCAATCATGTAAGATTTCTTGGGTACTTGAATTCAGGTGCTCGCCTCGCGAGTCGCCTCGGTAGCTGGGCCGGAACTCAGAATGGACACTCATCATCAGTTAATTAGCGATCATTTGGGAATTGTTTCCGACCTATGTTCTTGATCTCTCTGGGTTCTGCTTCACTGGTAAAAAGGTATTACCCTCCGTTTTCAAGCGTAGTCAGTTTATGCTAGAAATCAAGCGCAACAGGTTCGTCCGCCAAGATTTCCCCTATCTATTGTCCAAGCGTAACTTTATACTTGACACAAGCATGGAGTTACGCTTTAGTTTTACCAGTGAAGAGGCGTCTGTGAAATCGACGTTAAACAGCTGTCATAGACGGACTTGCGGGTTTCCAGGCATGCCTTTCAAAGACGAAAAAATCACGAATGGCTTCATTCGAAACTTGGAAGCCAATATCAAGAAAAACATGTCCATCATTTTTACTACTGAATTAAGTATACTTAATACAATGCTCAAATACAATGCGAGGGGCAAACAACTTCGTCAAAATTTGTACACCGTTATTTCAAACTCACGTTATTTCACGTTATTTCATTGTTATTCCAACGTTATTTCAAGGGTATTTCAACGTTATTTCGCGTTATTTCGTGTAATTTCACGTTATTTCGCGCTATTTCACCGTTATTTCACGCTATTTCACGCTTATTTTGGCGTTATTTCAACGTTATTTCACCGTTATTTCACGGAAAATGTACACCTAAATTCAAGTTGTTTGCCCCTCGATACAATGCTATCTATGAATTTGAATGCTGCGTACTTGAGGCACTTTCTAATAAAAAAATATAGGGTGGCATCTGATCTTCACTATTTTACGAAGAGAGAAATTTCTTTGCAAGTCTGCACAAAATGTCACTGGATTCAGAAACAAGGCATTTAACCATGGAGACAACCTTGCCTCCACCATTAAACGAAGAGTTAACTGAAGTACTCAAATGAAAAGGCGTCTGTGCCGCTAAGAGGAGCGCCGCCGCCTTTCGGCCCTCGGCTGCGGCCCCCCACTTCGGCTCGGCTCCCGAGTGCCATCGTCCTGCGCGTATCCATTCGTGAAAAATATCTTTGGGTCCCCGACATTAAAGTACGGTTGTCCAAGTTCTAAAACACACTACTAATTAAGAAAAGTAATGAGTTGTGACGCATGTTTCATTGTGACTCATTTGAACTGTCGCAATGGCACTCGAGCATCATCAGCCAGCTATCTGTCGCAGCTGCACTTGCGTAAAAGATATTGAGGTCCGTGAGTTGCGGCACATTCTACCTGTTCACGGAAGTTTTTGCACCGCACATGAGTTGGTTAACGAGGTTCAAATTACAGTGGTGGTGGTGGGGCAGTGCACTGCTCGCCACCCTTTGGGCTCGGCAATGATACAATTCACAAGAAAAGTGATGTTTTACATCAAGGGAGTGAGAGAATTCTATACCATCTGATAACGTTTAAAAGCTATGCTTAGGAGACTTACCGAAGATATAGCTGAAGCAGATGTAGAATCCTCGTGACTAGATCTTGAGGATGGTAGACTGTGAGAAACAACGACAATGAGTCCTATTACTTTGAATGCCAGGCAAGCAACTCCTCGCCGTAAGTTCGTCAGTAAACTTTTCTGGCGGATGAGCCTGCTCAGGCCCGTGTGAAAGGGCTACCGACAGGAGAGGCGACACCTGCCCCCCCCCCCCCCTATTTCCAAGAACGTGATGAAATGTATAGCTCGTTTGAGCATTGTGCCATATTCGTTTGGATGTGAATCGGCCAAAAATTAGCTTCTTCACATTGAAACGAATGTGACACAATGCTCAAGCGGACATGACATTCTGTCACGTTCGTTTCAACATGATGTCACGTTGCTGAAATGAGAGTACCTGACGAAGTATTTTGCGCATACATACAACAAACTAATTTACTTTGTTATACGAAGAAATAGTTTGTAAACAAGGTAGGTGTACGCCAGACCGTGTCTTGTCGTAACAGGCTTCGCGATGCTACGCCAGTTACGACAATCCACGCCTGGCGTTACACCTACCTTGGCCTGCGGCGCTTGCCTGCCTTCGGCAGGCTAGGTTTCTTCTCCAGGCATCCGCATACCAATTTGCGTGATTGAAGGTCAATACAGCATTTGATTTCGTGCCTAGGGCTGCATTGGCCTGACTTTTTAACTTGTCGAAGCTGGGGGGCTAGACCTCCCATAGGGTACTTTCGTAGATCCCTGAACCGGAAGCACACAGACGCCATGTTGGCGGAAGTAGATCCAAAATTTGACATGGGAAAGAGACGTTCGTCAAACGTATCGGCCACACTTGAACATAAACAGTTGTTTGATACTTTTTTGCAGTGCATATGTGTTTCGCGAGCAATATTTGTACGCTCGGCTATAGTTTTGGATCCGAAGAGAGGTTAGTTTCCGGCCAATTTGGCGTCTGCTGGTCTGCTTGCTTCCGGTTAAGGATCCTACGAAAGTACCCTATTGGCCTGACTTTTTAACTTGTCGAGGCTGAGGGGCTCCGCTCCCCAGACCCCCCTTTCTTCAAGACAGAAGTGGTCTGCATGCAGAAAACTCGATTTTTCGCCGTTTTTAGGTGTTTTTCGGCTATAAAAACCGAACCAGTTGAGCTAGGATAGTGAAATTTCGCGTGTGCCGAGCCAAGGACATACCCAAAAAGTGTGCAAAATCTCACCGAGATCGGCCGAGCCGGTCAGGAGAAGTAGCGCGGACACACACACACACACGCAGACAGGAAAAATTTTTCAACCCCACCTGAGTAACAGGCTTCGCTATCGCTCAGCCAATTACCACGTATTTTCTTTGTAAGCTCATGCATGCTCAAAATACTTTGTTATAACAAACTATGACCGCGCCTAAACTGTTACGCACACTGTGCGAAAAAAACCACAGTGAATCCCGTTAATTTTTTTGCCGGGATTTTCTGTAGTTTAGAACACAGGATCTACTGTGCCTGGCGACAGTATTTACTGTACCTGGTACAGGATATTCCGTACTCCACTCCTGTGTTACAGTAAATCCCGTACAAAGTACAGTAGATCCTGTCAAAAAAGTACAGTAAATCCTGTACTCGGGACTACAGTGACAGCTGTACTTATCACTACAGGATTTACTGTGATTTTTTCCCAGAGTGCAGTAGATAGTGCCATGAGTACATAATTGGAGCGGTCGCCGGGTTAGCGTAGCAGTCCAGGTCCACCCACATGGACTTTTGTTCAACCGCACTCGAGTGACTCGCTTGAAACACACAGTTCCACGTGCGGTTTGGTGCCCAACAACGAGCCCTACAGCATGTGTATCTGCGTACATTTTGCACCGTCAGTTGGTCTGCCCGAAACAGCATAATGTACGAACGCTTTCGTGGTTCACTTGAAAACGCAAAGGGATTCTCCCAATCATGCCAGCTGCCGTGGCAGAAGACACTTCGACCGAAGTGGCCTGCCGGTCCCGAGTCTCTTAAATAGCGATGAGGACCTCTCCTTGCTTCAGTCTTAGCGCTGACGACACTGCCGCAGCATGGCCCGCGTCCTCCTCCTCGTCCTGGCCCTCGTGGCGGCCGCCTCGGCTGTAAGTTTAACCCACGCCCACACTACAAGATCAAATGTGTGCTTGGTACACAGCTATGGGAGCGTACTTGCAATCACACATCTATTGCTTTATGCTTGGACAAGCACACAGCTACAGGTGTATGCTTGGCAAGTAAGTACACATCTTGTCCAAGCATACACCTATAGTTGTGTGCTTGCAAGTACGCTCCCACAGCTGTGTACTAAGCACACATTTGATCTTGTAGTGCACGCTTTACCACTAGACTAAATGTCGATAATAATCTTAACAAATGCTGACGCAAACGGGGCATCTGTATTATCATGATCAAGATGGCAAATAAAATGCAATGGAACAGGTTTCAGATAATATTTAGCTTGCTTGGTGTGAAGGATTTAACGGGCCAAATTTATTCACTGGCATCGCCCTCCTCCCTCTTGTTTTTGTTTATAGTAGTAGGTTGCATGTGGCTGCGTGTAGTTCTTGCATAGAAGCATGGTTCTTATGGTGGATATTGACAGTCCTGCTCTTGCACTCCAGTAATAACTGCAACCATATTTAGAACGTACCACGGCCTCTGATTGAAATCTCCTCTAAAACCGGGCCCATTTTTTCCGATTTTTTCCAATATTCAACTTTTTCTTTTGAATTTCTGGAAGCAGGGCAGGTACACTCGCGCCCAGCTTGCCGAGTTGTACGGTCGCATCGACGTGTGCTTGGAGCCCGTGCCCCAGAGCGGCTTCAACAACCAGCCCGCCAACATCTGCAAGTACGACGCCAAGGAGGAACTGCTGCGTGGTTACACCAAGGAGTCCCAGGTTGACCGCATCACCGCTTGCCTCAAGAGGTACGAGGTCCCCGTCGCTGATGAGGTTGTGGCCGCCGCCGAGGAGTGCCTCAGGGAGTCCCTGACCAAGCCCGTCGCTGCCAGGGTTGCGCGCCAGCTCCAGAGGGTGAGTGAAACACGGTGGAGGTTCATAGAAGCCGGGTGATCAATGAAGGCTCCGCGGTGGGGCTTAACTTTCAGTGAATATAACGAACCAAATCTGACATAGATAATGAGGAGATAGTGCTTTTTATTGCCGTGTGAAAAACTCTTTAACAAAAGATGAAATGTCAATAGCTGTCTCAGTGAACGTAAATAGTACGCCACGTTCTGATTCTCTTGTTGGCTTGTTGTCTGAAATTGAGCATTCTTTCTGGAATGTGCGTTGTATAGACAATATGTAGGTAGAATAAAGATTGAATGTTTTCTCCCAACCCGGGTGCGCACGCCACTGTGAGTTCCTACTGAGAGCTGTTTCATTAATTACAATACTAAACCTTCTTTTTCATTTTTGATGAAGGCTCAGTACACCCGCGCCCAGCTTGCCGAGCTGAACGGTCGCATCGACGTGTGCTTGGAGCCCGTGCCCCAGAGCGGCTTCAACAACCAGCCCGCCAACATCTGCAAGTACGACGCCAAGGAGGAGCTGCTCCGGGGCTACACCAAGGAGTCTCAGATTGACCGCATCACCGCTTGCCTCAAGAGGTACGAGGTCCCCGTCGCCGCCGACATCGTGGCCGCCGCCGAGGAGTGCCTCAGGGAGTCCCTGACCAAGCCCGTCGCTGCCGAGGTTGCGCGCCAGCTCCAGAGGGTGAGTGAAACACGCTGGAATGGTTCAAGTCAGGTGATCAATTAATGCGGTTCCGTGGAGATCTTTGAGAGTCAATTGTATCCGTGACCCCAAGCACTAGCAGGGGGTGGCAACGGCCTAGAAAGAGCGTGAAGCGATGCTCGCGCCGTCAGTGCAGAGGTTGCGCACTTGTTCGAGATTATGAAAACTAGACTGTGTTTTTCAAAACGCTTTGCACCGATGGAAAGGGCTTGAAATTTGGGGTGCATTAGGCTAATTGCTCTTCTCAAAACTCCCCCCTTACCTGACATTAAGGTGCAGTGAAAACACCAAAAAACACGAGAAATCATCAAATTTAGGAAAAAACTCGAATGCGCCATGTTGATGTAAATGATTCCGCCCTTGTGTTCGGTTGAATTGGAAGTATCGGGCAGTCTACTAGGCCTAATGCACCTCAAATTTTGTGCACTTTTGATCTGTGCAAAGTGATTTGCAATCAACGGCCTAGATCTTACAATCGAAGCAAAATAAGTAACCCCTGCACCTCACTCGCGCATGGCTTCACGCGCTTGCTAGGCCGTTGCCGCCCCCTGGCACTAGTCAGACGAGAGTAGAAAGCACACAATGGGAAGCGTTAGAAACTCACAAGATCGGAACAAAGGAAAGTTCCTTTCTAGATCATGCGTGAACTGAATTCAAACTTGATTCAAATCGAAGCCCAGCCATCAACTTTGATGAAGTAGAAGTGAGAGATAAGCCAAGACAGTTTTTAGACATTTATCTAATCACAGTCGGTAATTCGAAAAGTAATGCTGCGAGTTAAGCAGTCTTCAAGTTATTAGATCAATTGTAAATAGTACGCCACGTTCTGATTCTCTTCTTATGGTTTGCTGTCGGAAATTGACCATTTTTTCTGGAATGTGCGTTCTACAGAATGTAGAAGAGGCTGAGTTTTTTTCACCCAACCCGGGTGCGCACGCCACTTCTGAGTTCCTTCTGAAAGCTGTTTCATTGTTTCCAATATTGAACCTTCTCTTTTTATTTTTGATGTAGGCTGAGTACACTCGTGCCCAGCTTCGCGAGTTGTACGGTCGCATCGACGTGTGCTTGGAGCCCGTGCCCCAGGACGGCCTCAGCAACCAGCCCGCCAACATCTGCTCCTACGACGCCAAGGAGGAGCTGCTGCGTGGTTACACCAAGGAGTCCCAGGTTGAGCGCATCACCGACTGCCTCAAGAGGTACGAGGTCCCCGTCGCCGCCGACGTTGTCGCCGCCGCTGAGCAGTGCCTCAAGGAGTCCCTGCCCAAGCCCGTCACTGCCTAGTCCGTCCAAAAAAACAATATTAACTATCTTTTAAGAGTTGCAATAAATAAAATTATAGCAAGCAAACACGAGAAGGATTATTTGTTTTATACCTATTCGATTGTTCAGTTTTTCCTTCCCTGGCAACAGAAAACTGAAAAAAATGCGCAATCCCTTGTCGCTTTGTAGACTATTTTGGCCCCCATGTTCGAAGCAGCTGAGTACACATCGAAATCCACATTCTAATTGCTTATAGTGGCGCAGCACGAGCAGATTGCACAACATGTGTCTTAGACTACACAAAGCCTCAGCATGTTCCCGGAAATCAAATGAGCGTTTCTTTCCAAGATCTGCAATTGCAGTGTTTCCTTGAATATAAGAGGACACCATTCCAAATGGAAAAGTCTCGTAAATAGGCCATGAAAAGTCGGCACGAGATATTTAAATCAAAGATTTTTCACGTGGAACAACATGGCAACGAGCAAACGTCTTGGAAAACATGCTTTTTACCTTGTTTCAAAACAAACGGCTGAATCGTTCGGGCTACGATTATGACATTTCATGTCAGCATTCCAGGAGCACGGGTGGAAAGTAGATCAAAATTTTCCATTTTGAGGGGTTTGTTGGGGGAGAGGTGGCATATAATCGGTAGTCTCACTCTAATGTGTGTTTTTTATTGTAATATATATTTTTTGCGCATAAACATTTCTTCGGTAAAAGCCCATGTCCACCACCGGCAGTTGCCTCCGGCCCTGAAGCAATGATGGGCTTCGCAGGCTTTGTACATGGCTAGGGGCGTGCCCATGTGTTGATCGATTCCGGCACGCCTGAGGGTCAGTCAAACCTACGAGCCACCGGGCAGGAGACAGTTTCTTTCTTGTTGTGACCGCGCAGAGGTAAAGAAATAATTTTTAGAAGAAGCACCCTCAGCCATCACAAGTTTCAGCGGGCAATCAAGAATCAAGTGGATCCAAAAAATTCGGGAACAGTTTACACGTCAACGATTTAACAGAAAACAGCTTTATCATCTCCCCACCACTCTGCTTACAAGCTTACATCAAATTCTCGGAAACAAATGCATAAATCTTGGGCACACACCGGTCCAATGTGGCTCCGTTGTTTGCATGGAATCCTTGATCAATGTCTCCTGCTCTGGTGGCTGTGCACAATGCCCTCTTCATTTTCTCCATTTTGCAGTAATCAGATGTCGCTGGAAGTGGCCTCGATGTATCCGCTGCCCCCGTGGCACGTTCTACAGGCAACTCGAATTTTTGGCCGGGTGCGGAGCGTGTCTGGAGAACTCCAGGTAATAGATTCCTATCTGATAAAGTAGAACAGGCATGGGACTTTGATGCGGTGAAACATATCCCTGTTTTTGACACACTGAGAAAACCTTACAAACTATTTTTGGCCTTACAAAGAAAATCAGCTTGTTATAACAAAGTATTTTGAACATAAGCTTCGCACACAGAAAATACTTCGTAATTTACGAACTATTTCTTCGCATAACAAAGTAAATTAATTTGTACTGTGTATGCTCAAAATACTTAGTAAGGTTTTAAGCGTGCGGCTCCTCGGCCGGGTCTGGGTCGGGTGGGGGCTTCGTTGGAGTCTAGGGTTCGCCTACTTGCATAGCAGGCGCGGGGCGGCTTTAAGATGATCTTCATTTTCAGGAGATGGAAAAATGCATATGCCCTTGTAAGGGTCAAACTCCCACAGCAAGAAAAAACCACAACAAAAGTACACAAATTACTGGCAATTTTTTTTTATCAGGAATTTATTGTACTTTCAAAGTACAACAATCGCTGTACGAAGTGCAATGGAACCGGCATGACTAGTGCTGGGTAGTCCAGACCTCGTTGTGGTTTGTGCGATTCTCGTTGAACTTAATACAATCCGTGTTGTACTTTTATTGCACAGCTTTTGTTGCACTATTATTGCACAGCTTTTGTTGTACTTTCGTTGTACTATTCACACTTTTTCTCGCAGTGCCGACCAAGTGGGTGGTCAATCTCGATGCCTGGGTACCAACGGAAGGACATTTCGCCTCACTTTGAAACCATTTTAAGCCCAAAATTCGTTGAATGTTCGCCTTTTGGAAGGAAGATTTCGGACGTGACGGGATTTCTGGCGCTCTTGCAGCTGGATGAGGATTTGACGGAGTTTTGTCGACTCCGTAGACTCAGACGTCCCCTGATGCAGGTCTCCCTGCGGTGGATGCTGCCCATCTCCGTGGTGGTGCCCGTGGCCCTGGCGATGCACGGCCTGCAGGAGGTGACGTACGCCCCCAACTACAGCGCCTCGTCGTACGGCGTCACCCGCCTGCTGACGGCCGTCCCCCTGTTCGTCGACTCCGGCGTGCGCACCTTCTCCGTCGCGACGTGGGGCTGGGGCTTCTGCGGCGGGGGCGGCCTCTACGACATCCTGAGGGCTCCCGAGGTGCTCCGGGACACGGCCAGGTAGCATCGTCTGCAATTCCCGCAACAGAGCGGTGGCCAAGTAGGCGAATTTCTAGAGAAAACTCGGAACCGTTTTTCGCGAAAATTAGGAAATTAGTCATACTTACTTAGAAAATACTGAGTATTATTGCCGTTTATACGAATACGTAATTAATGAGGAAAAAGTCAGTGACGTGGTGAGAGTGTTGCCTACACTGGCGAAACAAAGGCATAAATGCCGTGCCCTTGCAGGCGCAGTCACCGGTTCCTGCGGGTGATCGCCGTGCACGGCCTGCTGTCCGTTGTCTATTGGGTGGCCTTCTATGCAATTCGGGTTCCATTGGAGGAAGAGTGGAACGCGTACCTCATGATCGGGACGAGTGTTCACGACTGGCTGGCTGCAATCCATCTGGAGCTATTCACTGAATTGGTGGATCTGGTGCGCGACAGGTAAGCAAACACTGCACGGTAAAAGCGGAACCTGGTTTTCCCAGGAAGCCAAGGTGAAGGCATAGGTGATTTCCAGGGAGTTCCTGGGAAAACCAGGAACCGTTTTTACCGTGTGCTCGTCCAAGTATGAGACAGACTTTGGTGTGAACCACAGTGTCTCATGCCATGTGGTGTGAATCACGATGTCTCACGTTTGCAAGTGTGATAAGGGAGGGTGGGGCACCTAGTGACAGGGGCACCTAGTGACAGGGGCACCTAGTGATACAGGGGTGCCCTGGCCACCCTATGGAACTTTCAGACATCTTGAGGTGGCTAATCTAAAGGTCTTGTGCTGTGGAATCATGTTCAAGTGAGAGTGAGACTCCGAACAAAATATTTTAGCACCTAGAATAAAACCAGGAAAATAATTACCCAAAATCACAGATTTTACGACTTTTTTACAAAATGTTTTGTCACCATTCTTCCAGTAAACGGCACTGCCGATCGTTCTGACGCTTTAAATCAATAATAAGGACCTTCAGTAAGTTGTTTTCGCTGAACCAGCTCAAACATATGATTTCATTTCCTTCATATCAAATTTTGAACGTAAATGAGCCCCCGGGGCAGGTAGTGACAGACACACTCTACTTACCGTATTTCAACGATTTAAACGTTTCAAAACATCCATTTGGCAACCGCGAAGTAAATTGTCACCGATTGTCACACAACGAAACATAAATGAGACTAATTTGTACGACAATTTCGTAGAACATAGAATTCGATTGGCAATGTAGTAAAATGCAGTTTCTTGGGAAAAAATGGCGCCGTTCAGAATGGTTTGATATTAAAAAAGCTTAAAAAGCCTAAAACGGATAATTTTCATGTAGCTGGAGCGTCGCACGGTAAAAGCGGAACCTGGTTTTCCAAGGAAGCCAATGGTGAAGGCATAGGTGATTTCCAGGGAGTTCCTGGGAAAACCAGGAACCGTTTTTACCGTGCGCCCTTTGCTGGTAATGTGAGTTATATGACCTGTCACTAGGTGCCCCAGGCTGGGGCACCAAGTGACAAGTGCAGAGGTCTGCGGGAAGCTATGTAAATAATAGAAATAGGCGTTGTCAAAACGCCACACCATGTATTTGCGATCAAGGAAGGATCAAAGCAACCTTCTGAAGTGTAAGCAGATTCATTTCTCGCACAGTATCGGAGTGAGTGCCAAAATCCGAAAAGTGTTACTAGGTGCCCCACCCTCCCTTACACTTGCAAACGTGAGACACGGTTTATGATACACTTGCAAGCGTGGGACAATACGCGCCTATTGTCTCCCTCAGTTAGCGCATGCCTGTCAAGCATGCTCGAATTAGTGCATTATTGACATGCATGAGCGTGCGTGTAAGCACAGCATGCTCCAGTTCACTGCAAAAAATTCCGTGGTTTGGTACGGAAAATGTACGGAAAAATGGGGTACAGACGGGTACGGAAAAGGCACGGACCTTCTGTACTGGTTCTCTGTGGTCCCCATAAGGATCTCATGTAAATGGGTACAGAAAACATGTACAGAACCTCCGTGGTTGGCAAGGTACGGACGGTCCAGGTAAAAAATTGACCAGACATATTCCGTGAAATTTCTGTACTTTTTTCTATCAGTGTCCAGTTCTCCATGCTCTAAAAGGAACGCTTTTCGATTTGTAGAGCGCCCTCAGTGCACCATTAAAACCTTACGAAGTAATTGGAGCATACATACGAACAAACTAGTTTACTTTGTTATACGAAGACAGTTCGTAAATTACGTAGTATTTTCTTTGTAAGCACATGTATGCTCAAAATACTTTGTTCTAACAAACTGCTTTGCTTTGTAAGGCCTTAAATTGTTTGTAAGGTTTTCTCAGGGTGCGCCCAAGGCTGAGACGAAAAACAAAAATTTTCAATGAAACATTTTGCAATTGCAGGATTGGATGAAAAACGGTTTGTTCAGCCATTGGCTGCAGTAAATGCATTAGAAGGCGCGTCTATCACTTCAAGAACTCTCTGCTGGCTGCGGATATTTGCGATTCTGGACACGAAACACAACTACGCGGACGCCCCTTTGTCGCCAGGTTCAAGGAGCTGAATGGACGAATTCACGAGTCCTTGCACAGTGCATCTTCGCCTTCATGCGTGCGGCGCTTCTTCGATGGGCTCGACAAGCACTGTAAGTCCTGGCTGTGTCAGTGCGGGCGTGAAGCGACACTGAAGTACCGCCGTTCTCTGCCGAGACACCTTTCAGACAAACCAGTCAATGTTCGATAGCTTGCTTACTTCAATGAGCCCCGGCATCAAAGGTGCCTTCCATGGAATCACCTTCGCAAGCCATTGAAGCCACATAAGAGGTGTTCGGTGCCAGAGTGCCTTGTCACTGGTGACGAGCTTTGCCATGGCAAGCAAAGGTGTTCCCTAGAAGCGGTTTTCAAGAGGATGCAACTGACGAAGGTGCTTTTCTGGGAACACTCCAGAACGAGAGTGTAGTCGCTATTTAAGAATACTCGGGATCAGCGTAGTCGTCTACCACGGCATCTGGCATGATTGGTAGAATCCCTTGGTTTTGCTCGTGACCCGCGAAAGCGTTCACAATAAATTACTATGTAGTTTTTTTGTGCATCGACTGAGAATATAGCGTCAATTGGTGCAATGCTTTCACTCTCATTCCAGGAACGTGACATCACGCTAACACGAACGTGACAAAATGTCACGTTCGTTTGAGCATTATGCCACGTGCGTTTGAATGTGAACAAGCTGATTTTTGGCCAATTCACACCCAAACGAATGTGACACAATGCTCAATGCACAATGCTCCTGGAATGAGAGTGTTTGTATTGCACGTGAAGTGCAATGCCTTCCTCTTCCCATGCATTAGCAAGCGCCTTTTCGGGACTGCACGAAGGTGCAATATGGCTATGGCATAGCACGTATGGTGCGACATCTCAGTACACTCGCCCTTACGTGCTATATTCATAGCGTTTGGAATCCCAGTGTAAGCTTCGCACAAAATTATGCACCCGTTTTCAAATATACACGAATTTGTTCGTAACTATTGCACTGAGAATCCAAATGCTATGAGTATAGCGTCAATTGGTGCAAGCAAAAGCATTGCACATGAAGGGCAATGCCTCCCCATTCCCATGCATTATCATAGGGCATCTTCGGGACACATTGCACGTAAGGTGCAATATGACTGAGGCATTGCACGTATGGCGCAATATCTTACTGCAACCATACGTGCAATGTTCATAGCGTTCATAGCGTTTGGAATCTCAGTGTAATCACACTGAAAACATATGTATTATGAATAAATATTGCCTCGTAAGATGTTTAACCCGAATTCACTGTAACATAGCTCGGATTTCACTGTAAGACATTAAAAGCGCATGATCACAACGTGAGAAAAGAACCGTGACTCAACAGGTTCGGTCACTGGAAACGACATAGCGAAGCTGCGTCACCAACACAAGAACGCAAGTTTGTTGCTGGGGAGAATCTGCAGGGCATTCAACGGCCACATCCTGTGGCGGTGCCTCTGCCTTGCTCTCTGCGGAGTCAACTGCCCGCACTTCCATCTACGGGCTCTGATCCATCACCGACTTTGGGAAGTGTAATGGCAACTTCTAATTTAAAGCACATGTTTTTTTGGTGATGAATCAGTTGAATCCCTACAAAACTTAAGAACTACGGAGACTCGACCAGGGCATTTGACCTATTGGCGATCATTTGAGAATTTCGTGTAATGGTAATCTAACACGAAGCCATAGTCTTGCGTTGAGACTTTGATCGGTCAAGCTAAGTCACCGGTTCCCAACCTTTATTGGCTCGTAACCGCAAAAAGGCTAACAATTTTTTTTTTGGATTTTTTATTTTTTTTATTGTTTTTTGTAGAACCTTTTAACGAGGTATGTAATACCATTTCATCTGGTGTGTGATGTCATGTCTGTAGCAGCTGTAGTACCTAGAATTTCATGTTTTACTTTGTGCTTCCAATTTTACCCCACGACCCCTGGCGACCCAAGGCACCACGCCCCCCCCCCCCCCCCCCAAAAAAAAAAAAAACGACCCAAAATGGAGTTGGGACCCCGAGGTTGGGAATCGCTGAAGTAAGTGCAGAACTTCTACTGATTGCAGACGATTGAGTACCATATATGGAGTGGCACGAACTGTCACTATATTAATCGGCGTGTGGAGAGCCATGAGTGCAGCAACTATGGTAACAAAGGAGGTAAAGTAAATAGTTTATTAACACCGAATATCAGCCACAATACGGCAGGTAGGCCCGCCCATTCATGAGACTTTCCGCGAGTTAATTTTACTTTTCGAAAGGTAACGAGCATTTTCCGCAAAGTCCTCCTATTTACTTGCGCATGCCTTATTATCTGTTAGTTGTCCAGATCCTTTTTTGGATTGTAGTCTGAAAAAGATACTCCGACGCCTCCTAGAATAACCCTAACTGTCAGCGTTGATCCAAGACAATCCTAACTGCCAGAGCAGATCCAAGACAATCCTAACTGCCAGAGCAGATCCAAGACAATCCTAACTGTCAGTGCCGATTCAGAACTATCCTAACACCCAAGCGGTCTTTACTCCAAGTCCGTGACGCCCACACTCTTCATAAATTTCGGAAATTTTTTGCTGAAGGACTTGTTAAAATTTTGCAATGTTACATAACAACTTGGACATTGTGTGTCAGGGATGTTAGCGATTACCTGATTTGCAGCGAGGAAACTACGTGAGCACTTTTAGCCACCTCTGCAGTTAGGATTGTTCTCAATCCGCACTAGCAATACGGATTGTCTTGGGTCAGCTCTGGCAGTTAGGATTGACTTGCATCTGGACCAACAGTTAGGATTGTTCTATTAGGACTTGTTAGCCTAGATTTTGTGGTGCAAAGTGACAGGGTAAAGGTTTGCGGTTGATTTCCAGGGCAATAGTACAGTGGACATCATTCATCAAGGACAAAATATGAATCACCTCCTTCAGGTTCAAAGAAATGAGGTAAATTTAGGGGGCATTTCCGCGGTGGTTATTTTTCTGCCTCTCCATGAATGAATCTTGCTTTGTGTTAAGGGCAGGTTCTACCTTATTGACTCCATTGACTATTTATAATAATACGGCTTCAAACTATTTTGATACTTTACATTATAGTTGCCACTATAAGGGGCCTTTCCCGCTGTCTGTTTCTAAATTGCTGATAAAATTTTTGTGTTTGCGAAAAATTTTTCAGAAAGATTTACGTTAATTTTTGGTGCGAACATTCTCTTTCGTGCTGAGATCTAAAAAGCTGACAGCTCTATAGGCTGTACACATTCAAATGCACAGTATAGGGCTTTATCGATAAATCATCAAGCAAACCATTGGTTTGATTGTGTGTCCTTCGTTCTCCCTCAGCTCAGGATATTCGCGCTTCAGCTGCACCAGCGTCCAGTCACCGTTCGGATGATGAGAACCATTGAGTTTAACTTGCACCTATTCGCCAGTGTAAGTAGAATGGAAACTTAGGAACTTTTCGACCCACTTATTGATAAATAATATATAAATATTTATATAAACTTATATTTGAGATATGGGCAACTTTGATCGAAAAGCCCAGAAATGACATGTGTAACCATCACTCAAAAAACCTTGCAAAGTATTCTCCGGCATTGTATTGCAAACTCTCATACAAACTATTTGCTTCGTATTGCGAAGTATTTCGTTGCAACTTGCAAAGAAAATGCTTTGCAACGTTACAAACCAATACTTTTTTCTTCGCAACTTATGAACTATTTCTTTGCAATGCGAAGGAAAAAGTTCGCAAGGGAGTTTGAAATACAATGCCGGAGAATACTTTGTACTGCAAAGTACTTTTCTTTGCAAGCTTTTCTGAGTGCACTCCATAAAATAAAGGCGCCAATTCCAAATAACACAAAACATCATTTTTCAGTACAGGACTTTCTTGTCTATCGCTTTGACCTTCAACAGCCTGCCAGATCATTTCTTGGACTGTCTTATGAGTATTAAAAGATTCCCTAAACGCCTGATAGCGGCAACCCGCATCACATGTCCCTGTAGTAAGGGAAAATACGAAATCGCCCCTGCGGTTCTTGCCCACCTCCAGGAGTCGGAGTATCCAAACGCTCCAGGTGTTTTCGTTCTGCTGCTTGATTTTGGAAATGAATCCATTGTTTTAACCACTTATGATCTCGAATTACAGGCAGCTGGCACCATCGCCGGTTACGTGGTGGTTTTAGTTTCATTCGAGTAACTGTACTCCGCTCTTCAACTCGAGAGGAGAGAATAAATACTCACCAGTTGACTCGATTTGTGCACCTTAAAATCTGCGAGCCTTTATTTGTGAACCCTTAAGTTACGTGTGTGAAGCCAACCCAAGGCTGCTAGTTGGAACCCCTAACTTGAAACTTGCATGTCACTCATATGGTAATAAACGAAATTCGCACTATTTTCCCCTTGTTTTATTAGTATTCCTTCAATGTAAGAAATAAATTGAGCGTTCACACTAAATGTTTATGTAAAATTTTGTACGTGGTGATGCATAATTGATCCAGGAAGCGGAAGAAGGGGGTAAGTCGAGTTGAAACCGTGCACTTTTGCAAGGCCTTAACCTTGCAGGTGGGAGAACAGGTGGGGAATGTCATCTAAAAATAGATGCAAGAGGATGGGACTTATCGCACCACACTTATATTTGGACCAAATTTTCACTGATGTTTACTTGATAGACTGTTAAGAGGTCACTGAATCAACTCGACTTAAACCCTTCTTCCGCTTCCTGGATCAATTGTAAACCTGTGTACCGTCGTGCACAAAATTGTGCGTGAATTTGCATAAATTTATGCATCTTTACGCATGGTTTTATGCAAATTTCACGCATGCACAAAATCGTGCTAGTTGCACGTACAAAATCCTACCTAAACGTTTAGTGGCACTCAAGAAAGAATTGGCAAAGGTTGAAGTTGCCAAATGTGCCTTCGTCAGTTCACAAAAATTCTTCGTAGTTGACGATGAACTTTCTTGAATGTTCCAATAGTTAAGCCGAAAGATTCCAAAAGATCCTTCCGCAACATTCTTTCCGGATGCATTTTCCTACACTGGCAAAACTAAGGCGTAGTTCTAGGCCTTATTTTTATTTCAACTTCTTCAACTACGCTTGAAGACCTACCGCCCTTCTTGAAGCGTACAACTACTTCATACAACATTTCCCACATTGCACGAAGGAAATAGCGCAAGTACAACACAAAAGGTAGTTTCCTTCCATACTGCACTCTCAGACTCGTATTAACTTTTTTCTCTCCATTATTTACTTTTTATCCTTGCGTAGTTTTTTACGCAGCAATAATATGTAGTATTTGCTAAGTAACCATGTACATGTACAATGATGTTCACTATAAAGACTAAATCGTCATCGATAAGCGACTTTTTTTTAAAAAGTCATTTGCGTATTGACTGTTTCTCAATTAATTCGACAATTAATTTGTCAGTATAACGAGCAAAATCTTACATAGATATTGAGGAAATAATACCTTCTGTTAAAGTGTAAAATACTCTTTAACAAAAGAAAAAATGTCAATAACAGTCTGACAGTGTGCGAAGGTTTTCAACTTTATCATAGGATAAAAATACTTAAAAGATTCGTATTATGAAGAAACATTTTCTCGCATGCTTCCGCCGAATTCACTGTAGAAGGCTGATAGACATTAAAGTGCGTATCGCCGTGCATAAAGAAGGAGCGCATGAGCGCTGACAGGTTCAAGAAGGACGTGCAGACAGAACGCCTTACGAAAGGCGCAAAGCCTTATAGTTCCACCAGTGTACAGTCCGGAGGTCGAGTTTCACAGTGTAGCGTTGACGTGGGCCGCATGGGCTGCCACTCGTCGGTCCACCTCCTCCTCGGACGGCAGCCACCCCCACCGCACCACGTCCTCCACGAGGCCCTCCATGCGCGACTTGAACGTGGGCGTCACTCGGATCGGGAACGTCTTGGTCTTGTTCTCCGGGATGTTGAAGAAGTCTCGGACCTCGCTCACCACCTCAGGGCCCGCGAATACGCCGCAGTGGTAGAGCGGAGTCATGCACAGGCCGTACGTCGAGGCCGTAACCAGTTGGTCCTGCAGCATTCAATGCGTTTGCTCAAATTTAGCAGCTGCGAGCCATTTCAAGAAAAAGAAGTACGGTGTACTGAGTGCACTGTTATTCCAAACGCTAGGAATGTAGCACGTATACGCATGGTGCAATGCAGCTGAGATATCGCAACCTATTACGTGCAATGCCTCTGCACCTTACGTGCAATGCGTCCCGAAAATGCCTTATGCTAATGCATGGGCATGGGAAGGCATTGCACTTCATGTGCTATGAATGCTTTTGCATTGCACCGATTGACCCTGTATTCATAGCGTTTGGATTCTCAGTGTGCGCCTCCACGCTCCAAAAGCTATCCTTCATTTAGATCAGCACTGTGAAAATATTGGTTGTCGCTTAACACGATGACAAGACTTATTTCCTTTGAAAGAACGTCATGAGTGGACTTGACATAGTCGTGACGTCCCCGCCACTGGTGTAGGACCTTTGCTGACATTGTCATTAATTCGTAACATTTCAACGTCAGGCAAATTTCATCCACTACTATCACGGTGAAAACGGCTCCCGGTTTTCCTGGGTAGAGGTTATGTCCAGTGACTTCCCGAGAAAACCGGAAACCGCACTGGTATTTCTAATGAGACAAGTTTCGTACAATTTGCTGCGATTAAAGGGCTAATGTGTCTCCTCCCAATTATCGCATATGTGGCAGGAATAAAAAATTATTGCATTAAAAATGCAATAGGTCTCTTAGGTTTTGGCCGGTCTGGGCCCAGATTGTCACAGTTTTGGTGCGATAAAATGATAACTACGCTAATAAAGCGATAAATGCGCTAATGCAATGCAATAATTAATGCACTACAGTATTCTCCCGCATTAGGTCGGTTCGCAATAAGTCGTTTTGATGTGACGGCCCCCGCTTACGCACGGGGGTTTATGGCCCGGCGAGCTCGACCCTCGGGGATGATTGACAGGGGTCCTCCGTGCCGCCAGGTCAAAAACGCGCGAACCCGGGCGCTGACGGGACCCCGAACCGCAGTGCCGACCTGGCCAGGTAGCGTACACCCGTAAGGCGCCGGTCGGCACTGCGTTTCGGGCCACTCCAGTGTAGGACCCAAGGGCCGGCTAATTGTTTTATGGCCTCCCCGAGCTCGGAGCACTGCCGGAGCCCGGCCTTCGCACCATGTGCTGTTCGGTTTTCGTGTTCGTTATAGTCCGAGATCCGGTCCCGAGCCGTCGACCTATTGCGGGAGAATACTGTAATACAATAACTTTTTCATGGCGCTATTAATGCAATAAAAATGTTATTCCTTTTTAAATAAGTTCATTATTACACTTAAAAAATCAGTGCGGAAACCTTTTTTTTCTGTGTTGTCATAGAATGAGGACAAATGCCTGCTGGTGACCAATGCCGAAATGAAAATGATTTAGACCGCACCTGCAGCAGCTGCCACGGGTACACGGCGTCGGGGTCGGGGACGCCACACGCTTTGAGCACGGCCTGCACTTCGTCGTGGTAGCCTCGCAGCAGGGCGTCCCAGTGCTTGTCCCGCATGGGCTTGTCGGTGCAGACGAACAGGACGAGGACCACGTCGATGGCGGGGTTGCCGTGGAACACCATCTGGAAGTCGATGAGACGGCACTGCTTGACCGCGCCCGAGGCCTGCGAAAAAAAACAATAAAAACACATTTACTGCACTGTGAAAATTTGTTGTCACTTCATGACAAAAACTTCGATGACATTTTTCATCACTTTGAAATGATGACAATCTCGTCACAATTTGATGACATGTCCATCAAAGCTCCCATACTTATTACATGGGCGTGACAACAATGTCATCAATTGATTTGATAACATTGTTGTAAGGAAAATAAGCCTTGAAATTGTCATCAAGTGACGACTCAAATTTTCAGTGTTTACAGAAAAGAGAAGACACGAAACAATGAGCCATATTTGAACCGGTACACTGGTAAAACTAAAGCACTACACCGCCTCTGTTTTTCAAGCGTTATCCGTCCACGCTCCGAATCTTCCAAATCCACTTAATTGAGAACTTTTTCCCATATTCTACTTAAGCACCTATAAAAGTGTGCCTAATTCCTGTACAAATTGTGTCGGACGAAGACGGCGTCGCGAAATTTTCCATAATACGAAGGATTCGCTGTCACAACAATTCGTCGTAAGTCACTCAGAGTGATGACCTGTGCGTACCTTGTCGTACTGGAACAGCATGTTGTTGACGTGGCAGTCGGAGTGGATGAGGGTAAAGCCAGGTCCAGCGACAGGATCCATGAAAGCCCCGTTGTTAGACTCAAACGCGTCGAAGAGTTTCACAAGCCTCTTGTTGACTTCTGAACCCACGGGGAATTTGTCTTGAACCACATCTGCATTGAAAGAGAAACGGAGAAAGGATTACATCAACAATCGAGTGATGTTAGCAGCCACAAACTCAAAGCACTGCTAGGGAAATTGTACATTAGTTGTAGATGCTGAAATCTTTTTAAAATATGAAGCGAGAAGGTGAAAAATTAACCGGCCAACCTTATACAGGGTAAGAGAAGTGTACTTTTATACTTTTATATACTTTTTTATACATATATACTTTATATATACTTTGTATCATATATATATCTCCTTTATATCACTTATATACTTTATATACTTTATACTTATATACTTTTTTTATACTTTTATACTTTTTATACTTTTATAAAAGTCAAGACATCAGCTCCATAAGGGTTGTACTTTTCTTACCCAGTACTTTTCTTCCCCAACCTACCCCTATGCGCAAGAAGATCTTTGAAGAACAGTCAATTAAGTCTAAAGATGGTTCTTCGATTGGGTTCAGAAGGTGGCATGAGTCAAGTCTTCTCACGGTAAAAACGAAACCTGGGATTCTCAGGAGCCCTGTGTTATAAGGTATAGGAGTTTCCAGGAAACCTGGGATTCTCAGGAGCCCTGTGTTATAAGGTATAGGAGTGTCCAGGAGATTCCTGGGATTCCCAGGAAGCTGTCTGCGTGTCTGTGCGTGTCTGTGCGCACTACTCCTCCTGAACGGCTCGGCCGATCTGCCTGAGATTTTGCAGGGTCATTAGGTATGTTCTTGGCTCGCCACACACCAAAATTCAGCTTCCTATATCAATCCATTCAGTCATATTAGCAAAGAAAAACCACTTCAAAACGGCAGAAAAAAGGACAATTTTTAAGCAGTTTCAACTTTTTGTCAAGTTTCATGTCGTTTCCTATGTTTTTGAGGCTGCTGATGACGAAAATAGAACCCATTCGGACCCCCGACCCAAAGTTAAGTCCCATTACTGTAGATTTTCATGACCAAATGCTAATTTTTGAGGGGATCACGCCCATTTCTACGGTATGTCTAGCAAAGCAGCCTGCCAAAGGCAGGCTAGCGCCGCACACTGTTAAAAATCCACAATCACCTACAGTAATGCTGTTAAATAACAACAGTATTGTTTTGTGCCCGAACGGGAAACAGCACTTTCGTGGGTTACAAGGGTCTTGTTTGATAACAGCACGATGAAATCAACACAGATGTTGTGAAGACATCGTCGAAGACTCCAAAGAAGTATTTGTTTTCTTACAATCGAACTGTCAGAAAACAGCACCGAGGGCTACAACATGCTTGTAATTAAACAAGTCGTGTCGCTATCAAACTTAAAAGCATAAGTGCTGTTAATTTACAGCACTTTTTTAACAGTGAAGGGCCAAGGTAAGTGTATACGCCAGGCGTGGATTGTCGAAACTGGCGCAGCATCGCGAAGCCTGTTACGACAAGACACGGTCTGGCGTACACCTACCTTGTATTTCCAAGGTTTTTTTTTTCAGTGGAACCCATTTTGAAGAACGTAAGGTTTTCACCAGAACCTCCCCTCAAAACGCGTGGAAAGAAAGTTACTTGGGACCGCACGCTGAAAACCTTACGAAATATTTTAGCCTTTCGAAATAAAGTAGCTTAACAAAGTTTTTTTGAGCCTACCTGAGCTCAAAAAGAAAAAAGCTCGTAATTTACGAACTATTTCTTAGCATAACAAAGAAAATTAGTTTGTACGATGCATGTTCAAAATACTTTGGTAAGGTTTTAAGCGTGCTTACCTGGCGTTATTTTGATGCCTTTATAGAAGGGCATGACGCGCTCCCTGCTCTCCTCCGTGGGCCACGGGTTGTGCAGGCCCTTCCGCATGGCCTCGAAGGCGTCGGGCCGCAGCGCCTGCAGGGCCAGGCCCGCGCCGTGGAAGCGGGCGAGCTGCGCGAGGGCGAGGCGGCAGTGCGCCTCGTCCATCCGCACCGAGCGGTCCGCCACCACGAAGCCCTCGGGGCCCAGGTCCCCCAGCGTCACCATATCGGGGGACGTGCCGGGCTCGGACGTGTAATAGCACCTGCAAGCCACGGACCGATCCAAAACTTTGGGACTGAGGACAGGCGCGTCAGGGAACGGGCCGCTTCGGCGGCCACTGGAAGTTAATGATAGTAGGCAACCCGCATTACATTCCCCTATAGGTAGACAAAATAAACAATACCCTTCCCCCCTCGAGGGCCCCTTAAACAGCGCTTGATTGAAGAGAGAACAAGGTTGACTCTAACTCAGAGTGGGATTGCACTCTCATCTCAGGAACGTTACATCACGTGAGCATTGTGTCACCTTCGCTTGGATATGAATCGGCCAAAAATTAGCGTGTTCGCATTCAAACGAATGCGACATTTTGTCACGTTCGTTCCGACGTGATGTCACGTTCCTGTAATGAGTGTGTAGGAGAACAAAACCACCGTCGTTCTAAACACTGTTGATTACTCTACACACTGAAGTGTGTACTCAGTATTCGTCTACAGATGCATACTTGCAAGTACACACCTACAGATGCATACAGTACTTAGCTGAGTACACACTCTCAGCACGTTACTGACGTTATGCTCATTTTGTCAGTATTAAGGGGGGAGACTCGTCTTTAACACCATAATTTTAGCAAATTTCAGGCTTACATGAAAACTATTTCCAATAGATTTGAGGGTCAGTGGGGTTTTCCAATAAAAAGCTGGTTCTTTAAGGTTCATTTTGGAAAAAAAAGTTTGACTCTAGGCCTCATAACCTAGGATCTGTAATCTTTCTGCCAAACCTCGAAAATACGACAAAAATTCACTGCGCGCATGATTTTTGGAGAATGAGGCATCATATCATAAATGTCTTTGTTGCTCCTTCAAAAGGACTCCCGGCACTCTAGATTGAACTAGGATAATTGAAATAGGTGGTTCCTAAGTGCCTGAAACTTACATTTTAAGGTGTACGAAAGAAAGCATTCAAATTTAAACATTTCCATAACCGTTTTCGGCCACTTCCGCTTGTCCGATTGAAGATATCCTAGTTCAGACTGACGGCCTTATGGAGGTGAAACATTGGAAAAATTATGAAGTCAATACAATCAACGGTCTGGCTTAAATCGTGCGCGCAAGACCCAAAATATTGCAATTGAGTAAAATGGCTCCAAAGTTTGAACGGTCTAACCTATCCTGTGGAAAATAAATTACAAAATGTCGTCCTTTGGCCAAACGGTTTTGAATTTCAAAACCAGCCAGCCACCCAATTCAAGGGTTTGACACAAAGAATTCAAAAAACTCAAAAACAAAAATCTGATTTTTTGAAGGAGAATGACGAGTCTCCCCCCTTAATGCAAGTAATTTCGCAACTATAATACGTACTTTACCTTTTTTAGAGAACTACTTAGGAAATATTAAGTAATGTACTGGCAATTTGGTTTTGTACATAATTTTACCAAGGAAATTAGTCAATTATAAAAAAATACTAAGTATTATTGCTGTTTATACGAATACGTAATTAATGAGGGAAAAGTCAGTAACGTGCTGAGAGTGCACATCTACAGATGCATACTCAGCTATGCAGATGCATACTTGGATGAGTTGCAAGTAGGCATCTGTAGGCGCATACTGAGTACACACTTCAGTTTGTAGAATTTTTCCCGGCCTCATCTTGGCCTTATTCAGTGTGATGAGAGATTCCTTCCAAAATGCGCTGCAGGGGTAAGTTGGGGAAGAAAAGTACAAGTTAATCTTATATACAGAGCTTATATAAAGAGCTACAACTTGACTTTGAGCTATCCCTCTACCCGTGATTTCAACTTGAAAGACGCGCCATTCTGTCTTGGCTTACCTTGGCCAGGGCAAAGGGTCGCTGAATCCAGCTATTTTCGTCATGGCGGGGAGCACTGTTTTGTACATGTGACCTTCGGTGGCGTAGAACTGGCTATTCAGATCACCCGCCAAGACATCTATGGATGTTTTGCTGATGACAGAGAGACTCGGCTTCTGACGGTCTTCCTGCAAACCAAGCGGACCTTAACGCTTATTACACTCCATTAGATCAGGGTAAAGCGGAAGAAGGGAGTAAGGGAGGGTGGGGAACCATGACCACTTTTTTTTTGTGCCTCCCTCTACTCCACCGTGTGGTTCGAAAAGTTAAGTTTCCAGCATGAGGGGATTCATTGGACCTCCAAGGACCTCTTCCATCCATTGGAACTTGTCTGCAATGCACGCCAGGCTCAGAACACTTTGGAAAATAAAACGCAAAGTGGTCATGGCGCCCCACCTATGGGGTACCATGACCACCCCGTGGGGCACCATGACCATAGTAATTTTTTGGCCCAAAAAAGTGTACTTTCTACCAGTATTCTCATTGAAATTGTTTATATCGCTGCACTGTTTGCTCGTGGCGTTACATCTGTAATGACAAGTCGTTTGCCCCAGCGGAATGACTAGCCGTACGTCGGATCTGTACGGCGCACCATCCCTCCAGGGTGCACGGTTCGCTTGCCGTACGCTAGGGTATGACTTTTTCCCGACCCCCTCCACTGCCGACGCCAACCCCCCACCACTCTTCGATACTCCCCTGCAACAAGCAGCTATCTACGCTCACTGTCTCGATAACCGACTATCTACGCGCGCTCTCCCGACAACCGGCTATCTACACGGGCTGTCTGGATAACCGACTATCTGCTTTCTCCACCTCGCGAGATTGAATGCTTTTATTTATCCAACCAATTAAGTTGCCCTCGCAAAACCTTTACCAAAACTTGTCAAAAGTTTGTCAAAGCAAGATTAAGTATGGTTTAAACGGGTCGCTTTAAGTATCATGGAGAAAAATACTTCGTTATCCGACAACCCTAACCTCGCTACGATGTTGGATAGTCGGTTATCCAGACAGCCCATGTAGATAGCCGGTTGTCGGGAGAGCGCCCGTAGATAGTCGGTTATCGAGACAGTGAGCGTAGATAGCTGCTTGTTGCAGGGGGGTATCGTCTTGTCCTTACGTCTCAACCGTATGACCATACGTCTGAAACGTACGGTCTCTGGCAAAGGTCCGCAAAAGCTAACTCCATGCCCCCACGGGGTCTCGAACCCGTCACCTGCGGCCCGTGAGCCGCGCCGCCTGACCACCAGACCAACACGCTCCGTGAGGGGAGGCGACTCGGTTGTCTACCACACCCCGCTAGGGCGGCGGGTCCGGCGACGAGGCGCGGGCTCCGGGGAGGCGGGGCTAACCCCCACTCCGACCACGCCGCCCCCTCACCCTGCCCCTCTCCCCCCTGAGTCATACCGAGGCGTACGATCATACGCCAAAGCCATACGCCACCAGCCAGGGTATGACCATACATCTGAGACGCCTTACCCGCCGTACACGAGGGCCAAGGGTATGGCCATGCAAAATTTTGCGATAGAGGGTCATTACAAAAAAGTCATACCTTCCGGGCTCTGTAACGCTACAGATCTACAGTGTGTCCTTACCATCAGGCCAGTCATCTTAACTAAAAAACACTGTAAAAACCTTCGAAGTATCAAACGTTCTAAAATGCCTTAAAATGGACGGTTTAAAACAGTTAACGCTCTGAGGCTTTCAAATTTCACATCCAAAGCTATGACATGCGTTAACATTTTATGTTTGTCTTGCTAAGACGAATCCACATTCGTATGCAGATTTCAATTTGGTAAATTTTAAGAAAATTATCGCGGTTACTACACTGCAAACAAGTGAATTAAATGCTGTTTCTCATAATGCCAGAGCCATCTTGGTGCAAAGTAGCCACGGATCGCCTTCGCGGCCAACTTTTGCGGTTTGGAGCTCATTTAGTGCAAGAGAAACTACCATTTCAAGTCTCAGTTTCAGAACCATTCTTAATAATCCTGGTGATTCACGATTTGTGGTAAAACTATCTATTCTGCAGCAATTATTCAACCTTTATACATTTTCAGAAGCAAAAAGCAAATTTTCGACGAAAATAAATCATTATCAGGCCAAAATGTGAGAAACACTCAAATATGTATGGTCATGGTGCCCCACTAAAAAGTGGTCATGGCTCCCCACAATGCAGTTTACGACTCTAAGGCTCCCCGAGCAAGCAAAAAGCTACTTAGAATTAAATGTGATGTTGGATATTTTGCCGGAGAGCCGACATTTTGAGAAAAACCTAAGACATCGAACTTATCTCCTCAAATGTGAGAGTGAGAAAAAATATCTCAGATTTGAAAAACGCCCAATTTAGCCAAAACGCTGTAACAAAAATTTCGGCGGGGTGCTATGGTCGTACCCTTGAAGCTAGAAGGTAGGGCTCTGGCTGAAAATAGTTAGAGTTCTATTCTCTCGAAAGTCCGGTCCACTCAAAATACGCGCCTGGGACAGCGCGATGTCGCAGAGTTTTTGTCTGCGAGATTCGGATGTCGCAGGTCTCGCGCAGGTCGTGCTGCGCCCCGAGTCGCAGGCTCTGCCTGCGACGCACCTCGCAGGCAATCCTGGTAGAATGAGGGGAGCGGTAGCGAACCTAGCGGGCAGGGCTGGAACTATGGCCCCGTCCTTCCCCTCGCCCCCCGCCGCTACGCTCCGCCACGCCGAGGTAGGCACCCCACCGTACCCCCTACCCCTCAGCAGCCCTCAGCCGCGCCGCGCCACCGCATGGCTCCCCCTCCCCCGTAACGTCACGAGCGACTCGAGGGTCCTGCGCCCTGGCGGCCGGGTGCAGAACTTCCCCGCCGGGACGCACCGCACCGACACCGACGCGGACGCCTGCAAGACGGAAAAGAAGACGGACGCGCGTGTTGTATCCCAAAAGCGTTTAATCTGATTCTTTTTCCAAAATTGAAGAGCCGCAAAATCGTATTATTTGTGTTGTGATCATGGACGAACTGACCCGGCACAACTTGGGGTATGGAGAAATGTATTCCACTGTTCGCAGGTACGTAAAATTGGCGTCTCGGGGGCTACATAACCTCTGTGTGCGCTGGGCCCATGAGACCCGCTTGAGACGTTTGTGCAAATGTCTTGATTTTATGCTTGCTCATTGCTCTGGAGTACTCGTGTTCAACTCTGTGTGTAAATGTGCGCCTCGCAGAGCGGAGGGCTTTCCACGGGGATCGAGACGGGGATGGTGGATGGTGGCCGCGAACTGGTACTTGGGGCCGCGCCGAGCCGGCTCAGCGTGTGGAGTGTGGCGGCAGGCTGCTGCGACTGCGACGAGCCGAGTGCTCCGCGCGCCGAGCGCAGCCGAAGCCGGCCCGAGCCAAGGCAGGCCTGAGCCGAAGCAGGAGGCTCCAGTCTGATTCCGAGAAGCCCTTCTCGTCGCGCTGTCTCTCTCGCACCTATGCGAGGCGCCCATGAGTGGGAGAGAGACAGCGCGACGGAAACAAATCTTGGAATCGGTCTGCTGCCGTTCGTCGCTCTGTCTCTCTCGCACCTTTGCGAGTCACCGCATGCGTACGCGAGAGAAACGGAGTGACGAACCCAACTCTTTCGGCTGCAATTCTACTTAAGATGCTAATTTAAAATTAAATTTTCCACAGGAATCTGATCCGGATGGTTCTGAGACCCAAGGCCAGAGTGGTTCTGAGACCCAATTTTCTGACGCCCACAGCCAGAGGAGTTCTGAGAGCCAGTCTTCTGGGGCCCAAGACGAGGAAACTAGTGGCCCAGACATAAGTTCCCGGAACATTGAAGGAACCGAAGACAGCAACCCACTTTGAGTAAACAATAGAAAGAGGAAGGCTGCTCAGTCATTAGACGAAAACACAAGAGGTCCGGAAACATCACCTACGTCGAATGTAAGTTGATGCCTTTTTATCTGTCAATTTTGTTTTAAATTTCTCATTTTCCTGCCGTACTTAGGGCAATATGACTTGAAAGCTTGTTTCTTTTTTTCGTTCAGTCACAATCTTCGTTTGTGGAGCAGGTCCTCAATTGGGACAAGAGCAGAGGTGACAGGGTCACAGCCAACTATTTTGGGCCTAACGGAAAGAGAAAACCACAGAGCAATCAGTTCCTGGATGCCACTCGTCAAAACATCCCTGTGGATTTGATCATTCGTTATGAGTTTAGGGGGGGACTGCAATGCTGAGTAAGTAAAATAAATGCTAACATACTGCTTTAAAGCGCAATTGAAGTATTATTTTATGTCTGTTTACTTTCCTCGCAGCTTGTCTCCACACAGACTGATCCAAATCGCTGACTGCATTTTCGAGCATTTTACAAACGAAAAAAAGGGAAAGAGAGAACCACCGAGCTAACAGTTTCCTGGATGCCACTCCACTCGTCAAAACATCCCTGTGGATTTGATCATTCGTTATGAGTTTAGGGGGACTGCAATGCTTAGTGAGTAAAATAAATACTAACATACTGCTTTTAAGCGCAATTGAAGCACTATTGTTTTATGTCTATTTACTTTCCTTGCAGCTTGTCTCCAAACTGACTGATTTAATTTGCTGGCTGCATTTTGGAGCATTTTCCAAACGAAAAAAGGGTACGTCCAACACCACATTGCTCTTTGTTGACCTAAAATTTCTGCTATGTGGAGTTTATAATTTTGCACTTGTCGGAACAGGGTGATTACTACATTCCCTACAAAGCCATCAGAGTGGACAATATAGTGTTTCGGAAGAATCCTGCAAATCGCAAACTGCATCATAAGTACCAGAATCACGTGAAAGATGTGATCTCAGATGGAACTCGAGACAGACGCAGAAATAATAATAACTGAAGTACATTTTTGAAATGAATTGTTTTTAAATGTGTTACGTGTGTGTTTGTCATTACTGTTTCTTACGTGTTAAATTTGTTCATAATTTACATAAGTTCCTGCGTTACCATTATCTTATTTGTATAATTTTTCTCATAGCGTGTAGGATGTAGATCTTGAATGATAATCTTTCATTTTTTAAAAGAGTTCCTGTGTGTTCATCATAATTATTTCTTTTGTATTCAAATTGTACATAATTTCCACAAGTTCGCACGTTGCCATTGTCTTATTTGTATGAATATTCTCATGTAGGATGTAGGTTTTGATTGATGTACTTTCAAGCTTCCTTTGTACGTATTATCTGTGCGGGGTATAGGTCTTGAAACAATGCTTCTATTTCTAAATAAATTATTTTCAATAATTTGAGACATTTTTGGTTTGAAGGGTACCCTTTCCAGGGTGCCCTACCCAGCAGCACTGCCTGCCAATAATCCCAGCTGAAGCTGCTACACAAACGCAGCAGTACCTGAGAGAACGGGCAGAGTGACCTGTGCCGATGACGAAGCGTTGCCTGCGCGCTCTTGCAGAATAGGGTGCGACGCGCGCACAGCTTCACCTGCGAAACGGCGCAGGCCTTGCTGCAGGCAGAGCGCCGACGCGGCCCACTAGCAAGGATCCCATTGGCCGGCGGGAGCGGGCGCGGCGCACAGATCAAGTGATCCTATTGGCCGGCGGGAGCGGTGGTGGGGGGACTGCGCCGCCGGAGGTGGTGGGGACAGAGGCGGCTCTGTCGCAGCCTGGTCTGCGAGCGTCCTGCCTCGCAGGCCATGCCTGCGACAGAGTCGCAGGGGGTACCTGCGAGTTTGGGTCCGGGCAACACCTGCGACTTTTCGCAGGCCCAATTTTACAGTGTCGACCGGTTGCCGTCGGCAAAGTAGTTCCCGAGAGCGAGGGGGGTGATCATGGTGCCCCAGTGGTCATGGTGCCCCACCCTCCCTTATGTCGCTAATCCCCAATTTGAGATTATATTATTGGCTGAGCGATAGCGAAGCCTGTTACTCCAGTGCGGTTGAAAAGTTTTGTCTGTCTGTCGGTCTGTCTGTCTGCGTGTGTGTGTGCACTACTCCTCCTGAACGGCTCGGCCGATCTGGCTGAGATTTTGCAGGCTTATTAGGTATATTCTTGGCTCAGCACACGCGAAATTTCACTTCTGCTACGAATATTTTAATAATTGGCTGAGCGATAGCGAAGCCTGTTACTCCAGTGCGGTTGATAAGTTTTGTCTGTCTGTCTGTGTGTCTGTCTGTCTGTCTGTGTGTGTGTGTACACTACTCCTCCTGAACGGCTCGGCCGATCTAGCTGAGATTTCGCAGGGTTATTAGGTATATTCTTGGCTCAGCACACGCGAAATTTCACTCTCCTAGCTCAACTAGTTCAGTTTTTATAGCCGAAAAACACCTAAAAAACGGCGAAAATTCGAGTTTTCTGCAGGTAGATCACCTCTGTCTTGAAGAAAGGGTGGAGCCCCCCAGCCTCGACAAGTTAAAAAGCTACAAGGGTCAAGATCGTGTTATCTGTAGATGAAGCAACTCTTTCTAGAATTAAGGGGGGTCTGGGGGGCGGAGGCCCCCCCCCCCCCCCCAGCATGCAACACGTAAGAAGTAACCGACGATGGACAAGCCAATGCCTGCCGAAGGCAGGCTAGCGCCGTAAGGTAGGTACGCCAGGCGCGGATTGGAGGAACAGGCCGCGAGATATCGCGAAGCCTGTTACGACAAGACGCGGTCTGGCGTAAACCTACCTTGTACTATCATGGTGGGTGCCTGAGAATGGTTTGAACCATCACACTCTCTGGAATATAGGTAAACCTCGAGCAGTTTAAAAGATATCAACACAGGAAAAGGATATTATTCCATTGCCTTCAACATTCTGAGAGAGCCCCAACGCGACAAAATTGAACACAGTGGATTTTATAAGGTGGTCACGTGGATCTTCCCGTGTCATCACTGCCAGCGTTTTAAAAACAGAAAAATTAGATTTTAGGGGACACAAACAGGCTCTGCAAACTGAAGTGTTTACTCATTCATCTGCAGATGCATACTTGGAAGTAGGCCTACACACCTTCCGATACATACTTTGGCTGAGTACACACCTATAACGCAAGTATCTGTGGGTGTGTACTCAGCAGTATTCATCTGGAGATGTGTTCACTGAGAATCCAAACGCTATGAATAAAGCGACAATTGGTGCAATGCTTTTGCGTTGCACTTAAATCACAAAGCCTTCCCTTTCCCATGCATTAGCATAGGGTATTTGTCACGTTCGTTTGAGCATTGTGTCACATTCATTTGGCTGTGAATCAGCCAAAAATCAGCTTGACGTGACATTTTGTCACGTTCGTATCAACGTATTGTCACGTTTCTGGAATGGGAATGCGTATGGTGGATATCTCAGTGCATTGCACCATACGTGCAATATTCATGGCGTTTGGAATCTCAGTGTACTCAGCTAGTATGCATCTGGAGTTGTCTGACCAAAGCGAAAAAAAATGTCGTTGATCGACATTTTGCGACAATTTGCTGTAGAAGAACAAAATTCTTGTTGTGACCATTAACGATACAATTTGTATGCAAACAACATCTTTCGCCTTAATTAAAATAAACGATGAAAAACATTTCGAATCATCATCTAGTATTTTGCTATTTGAAGTCATAGATAAATTACCACTGTTACAAGTAGAACCATGAAAATTAAATCTAGCGACAAAAGTACTTGATCAATATTTGTCGCAGACAATACAAAATCTGTTTTGACTTACAATACTTGTTGGTTGACTAACAACAGGGGATTTTTCGCACGGTTCTCGGAACTCTCACAACATAGTTTCTAGACACGTGCCTGAGATAAGATTCCTACTCCTGTTTACCCACCCAATCGAGTGATATCATTCTAAAAATACAGATGGTCGTCATGAGTTATATTTAAACCACAACCGGTATCGCCAAGAAAGATCCTCATCGCAATTGCACAAGAATACCACGAAACAAGAGCACTTCAGCTCACGGTGTCTCACTCCAACCCTGCGCTAAGTCCTTTTATCTCATTTCGTTAGAAAATCCTATATCTCCGGCGACGAAAGAGAAGCAACTTTTTTCTTTGCTTTACCAATCATGTACCCGGACGACGAAGCGGTTCACTGTGGAAAGTATGTAGTCAAAAGGCGAACAGAAAGGGAGTTTTAATTATATAATGTTGAAACGAATGTGACAAAATCACTCCCATAAGTGAACCAGCCATAAATTACCTTACTCGCGCTGCTCGCTGGGGGCTCCGCCCCCAGACCCCCGCATATGTGGAGCGCGTGCCGAAGTATTTTCAGTAAGTCCGTGGTGACCGAAGGCAAATTTTCTAAGGAAGTAAATGTCCTGCTTCTTTGAAAGGTCTATTTAACCGCTTTTGACCATATAATAAGGCTACTTTAAATGCCCAAATAGATAGCTTGTATTGCATTGGCTACTGTGGCAGTCAATGGGTGCATACACACTGAAAAAAAAGTCTAGTAACGATAACCAGAATTCTGGTACCAAATACCAGACTGTCTGATAGAAGATAACTCAACTAGAATTCTGGTAAAAAATACTAAACTGTCTACTTAGCCTCAGTCTGGTAAACCGTACCAGGTTTATAGTTACCCTTACAATGCCGCCGGGTCCCCTTCTGGTAGTTTTTACCAAACATCCTGGTTAGTTCATGTGCTTGCAAAACTGAAGGAAGAAGTCCAAAATTTAAAAAAAAATATTTTTGTAGCATTGAAACCTGATGTGATGACGACTTCCTTCAAGAATCACCTCTAAATCGATTTTCCCCTCCTTCTCTCCTCCGGATTCGAACCGGGATCTCACACTTGTGAGCTGAGCACGTTACCACTGGGCCACCACGTCGCCTGTGGGTCGAGGGGATCCGCACCTGGTGACTCTCTTCGTGTCTGGCTCAGGGAAATACTCCCAGTGTTTCTTCCGGATTTAAGACTCCGAAAATAACGAAACCGGTTGCAGTTAACTTTTTGACACGCTAACATTTCAATTGAACCAAATGTTTCGAAGTTTTACGTATGGCGCCAATTACTGAACAGTCTAGTAAAATTTACTAGGATTATTAACCAGACACCTGGTAAATGTCACAACACCCGATCTGGTTACTTCAACTGATCATCTGGTAAGAGTTACTAGGATTCTCGTATGCGTAACTAATACTCGTTTAACTAGGATTGGTCTGGTACTTATAACCAGACTTTTTTTTCAGTGCAAGGTCCGGAAAATATTGAAGACTGCTTTGACAAGGATAGAGGTGAAAGGAAAAAACCCTTGGGTCTCTACGACCACTCCTTGACCCCAAACATTTCTTTGAGTGAGTAAGTGAGTGAGTGAGTCAGTCAGTCGGATTGGGGCTGTATAGATTCTTGATGATGATTGCCCAATTGCCGGTGGTGGGGTCCCGATTACGGCACAGTTTCGGAAATTCTCGACCAGACCTACCGATGAGGCGAATAAGAATTATTAGTCATTCGGTCTCCTTTTTAGAAGATTGAGTAGGTTTGCTCGGAAACAGTGAGAAATTTTCAACTTTTGAGATTTTTCTCAATTTTCCCATAAAATTTGGAATCGAATGGAAAAAACCGCAAGTCTCTACGACCACTCCACCCCAAACATTTCTATTAGTGAGTGAGTGAGTGAGTCAGTGAGTGAGTCAGTGAGTCAGTCGGATTGGGGCTTTATAGGTTCTTGATTGATGAGTGAGGGAGTCAGTCAGTCGGATTTTGGGGCTTTATAGCTTCTTGATTCTTGATGATGACAATTGATGATTGATTTTGAGTATGTTGCCGGTGACGGGGACCCGATTGCGGCACAGTTTCGGAAATATCTCGACCAGACCTACCGATGGGGCGAATAAAAATTTTCAGTCGGTCTGTCCCCTTTTTTGAAGATTGAGTGGATTTTGTTGAATTTAGGCCTATTTAATCGTTTTTGAGGATGTTGCCGGTGACGGGGACCCGATTGCGGCACAGTTTTGGAAATGTCTCGACCAGACCTACCGATGGGACGAATAAAAATTTTTAGTCGGTTGGTCCCTATTTTTGAAGATTGAGTGGACTTTGTTGAATTTAGGCCTATTTTTATATCGTTTGAGGATGTTGCCGGTGACGGGGACCCGATTGCGGCACAGTTTCGGAAATGTCTTGACCAGACCTACCGATGGGGCGAATAAAAATTTTTAGTCGGTCGGTCCCCTTTTTTGAAGATTGAGTGGATTTTGTTGAATTTAGGCCTATTTAATCGTTTTGAGGATGTTGCCGGTGACGGGGACCCGATTGCGGCACAGTTTCGGAAATGTCTCGACCAAACCTACCGGTGGGACGAATAAAAATTTTTAGTCGGTTGGTCCCTATTTTTGAAGATTGAGTGGATTTTGTTGAATTTAGGCATATTTTTATATCGTTTTGAGGATGTTGCCGGTGACGGGGACCCGATTGCGGCACAGTTTCGGAAATGTCTCGACCAGACCTACCGATGGGGCGAATAAAAATTTTTAGTCGGTCGGTCCCCTTTTTTGAAGATTGAATGGATTTTGTTGAATTTAGGCCTATTTAATCTTTTTTGAGTATGTTGCCGGTGACGGGGACCCGATTGCGGCACAGTTTCGGAAATGTCTCGACCAGACTTACCGATAAGGCGAATAAAAAATTTCAGTCGGTCGGTCCCCTTTTTTGAAGATTGAGTGGGTTTTGTTGAAATTTAGGCCTATTTAATCGTTTTGAGGATGTTGCCGGTGACGGGGACCCGATTGCGGCACAGTTTCGGAAATGTCTCGACCAGACCTACCGATGGGGCGAATAAAAATTTTTAGTCGGTCGGTCCCCTTTTTCGATGATTGAGTGGGTTTGCTCGGAAACTGTGAGGAATTTGGTCCGCTTTTTTAAAGATTAAGTAAGTTTGCTCGGAAACGGTTAAGAATTTTCAACTTTTGGGATTTTTCCCAATTTTCCCATAAAATATGGAATCGAATGGAAAAAACCGCATGTCTCTACGACCACTCCTTGACCCCAAACATTTCTATGAGTGAGTGAGTGAGTCAGTCAGTGAGTCAGTCGGATTGGGGCTATATAGGTTCTTGATTGATGATTTTGAGGACGTTGCCGGTGACGGGGACCCGATTGCGGCACAGTTTCGGAAATGTCTCGACCAGACCTACTGAGAGGGCGAATAAAAATTTTCAGTCGATCGGTCCCCTTTTTTGAAGATTGAGTGGATTTTGTTGAATTTAGGCCTATTTTATAGTTTTTGAGGATGTTGCCGGTGACGGGGACCTGATTGCGGCACAGTTTCGGATATGGCTCGACCAGACCTACCGATGGGGCGAATAAAAATTTTTAGTCGGTCGGTCCCCTTTTTTGAAGATTGAGTAGGTTTGCTCGGAAACGGTGAGAAATTCGTTCCCCTCTTCTGAAGATAAAGTAGGTTTGCTCGGAAACGGTGAGGAATTTTCAACTTTTGGGATTTTTCCCAATCTAACCATAAAATTTGGAATCGAATGGAAAAAACCGCAAGTCTCTACGACCACTCCTTGACCCCAAACATTTCTATGAGTGAGTCAGTGAGTGAGTGAGTCAGTCGGATTGGGGCTTTATAGGTTCTTGATAGGTTCTTGATGAGTGAGTGAGTCAGTCGGATTGGGGCTTTATAGGTTCTTGATTGATGATTTTGAGGACGTTGCCGGTGACGGGGACCCGATTGCGGCACAGTTTAGGAAATGTCTCGACCAGACCTACCGATAGGGCGAATAAAAATTTTCAGTTGGTCGGTCCCCTTTTTTGAAAATTGAGTGGATTTTGTTGAATTTAGGCCTACTTTATAGTTTTTGGGGATGTTGCCGGTGACGGGGACCCGATTGCGGCACAGTTTCGGAAATGTCTCGACCAGACCTACCGATGGGGCGAATAAAAATTTTTAGTCGGTCCCCTTTTTTGAAGATTGAGTAGGTTTTCTCGGAAACGGTGAGAAATTTGTTCCCCTTTTCTGAAGATAAAGAAGGTTTGCTCGGAAACGGTGAGGAATTTTCATCTTTTGGGATTTTTCCCAATCTAACCATAAAATTTGGAATCGAATGGAAAAAACCGCAAGTCTCTACGACCACTCCACCCCAAACATTTCTATTAGTGAGTGAGTGAGTGAGTCAGTGAGTGAGTCAGTGAGTCAGTCGGATTGGGGCTTTATAGGTTCTTGATTGATGAGTGAGGGAGTCAGTCAGTCGGATTTTGGGGCTTTATAGCTTCTTGATTCTTGATGATGACAATTGATGATTGATTTTGAGTATGTTGCCGGTGACGGGGACCCGATTGCGGCACAGTTTCGGAAATGTCTCGACCAGACCTACCGATGGGGCGAATAAAAATTTTTAGTCGGTCAGTCCCCTTTTTTGAAGATTGAGTGGATTTTGTTGAATTTAGGCCTATTTAATCGTTTCTTGAGGATGTTGCCAGTGACGGAGACCGGATTGCGGCACAGATTCGGAAATGTCTCGACCAGACCTACCGATGGGGTGAATAAAAATTTCTAGTCGGTCGGTCCCCTTTTTTGAAGATTGAGTAGGTTTGCTCGGAAACGGTGAGAAATTTGTTCCCCTTTTTTGTAGATAAAGTAGGTTTTCTCGGAAACGGTAAGGAAGTTTCGACTTTTGGGATTTTTCCCAATTTTCCCATAAAATTTGGAATCGAATGGAAAAAACCGCAAGTCTCTACGACCACTCCTTCACCCCAAACATTTCTATGAGTCAGTGAGTCAGTGAGTCAGTCAGTGAGTCAGTCGGATTGGGGCTTTATAGGTTCTTGATTCACATTAAAATGAATATATCACATTTTAAAGAAACGTAACATTTCGTCAACGTGATGTAACGCTCCTGCGATAAAGTGTGATCAACTATCGAGAAACTTTTACATTCGATAAAGCGTTTTGATTCGTTAGCTTTGATTATATCGGCAAATTTTGAACAGTCGGAATTTTATCGGTGCCATTCATGAAGTCAGAAATAATGGGATTACGATTGGTACGCATTTTTGACCCTTACTGTCAACACACCGCCAAAAACTATGGGGCACGTGTATTTCTTGCGCATATCGCATAAGAGCGTCAACTTAGACACCAGCACACTTGCGTCTTCCTGAAATTTTTCCTTTACCATGGGGTACTTACCTTGTCCGTGATGGTTACGCGATGTACGAGGCTTGTAAATCCGTCTGGTGGAGTGTCATCTGAGTCAAAATGGAACCTGAAAATGTAAAAGTTGTTTGTTTTCACCGGTTATTCAGGTAGCTATGTCAATGTTTCAACGTGACTGTGAAATGAACTAGAGCCATGAATATAGGTCAATTACAAGATAGAAATTTCATTAAGACACTTTTAGGAACTGGCAAAAAATTTAAATCTCGTTTTCTTTTTTTTTAAATTAACTGTAGTTACAATGGATCTATGATCATGGTTGTAGTTCATTCCATAGCGCGTTAAATTTACTACATTTTGGCGGGGATTTGCGATTTCTCCATTTAAGCGCGCAGTGCGACATTCGGTAGTTTCATTTACGACGAAACGTTGTTTGGCAACTGCTCCGCTTGGCGCCATTGTTGACTGAAAATGCTTCTATTGTTGCGCACTTTACACTTTAAAGTTTGAACGTGCAACTTTTCGGTTACAAGCAATCGCGTTTTTAGGTTTTTTTTTTTTTTCAGTTTCTGTCACTGGTCACATAAAGGCATAAAAAGAACGCCCTTAGGTTGTGAATTGGTATAGGACCTCCAGGCAAAATTTTAATGCCCATTCGAAGGAGGGGTGTGAATCGTTTACGCCCTTCGGGGCGTACACAATGGCATTGCATAATTGTAATGCCCTTGTTTCACAACCGGTGTTGAGGTCCTTGTGTATCGAATGAATACACTGATAAAAATTTTGTTGTAACTTAGCGACACATTTATCGCTAACTTTTTTAGCGACAAGATTTGTTGTGGAACGAATAGCTTGTTAAACCGTAGTCGTATTGGAACTAAGAGATAATTTCACAAAGACTAACTTGCAATAACGCACCAACAATAATACATCTACGACAAGTATTGAAAGTCCAAAAGAAATTTTGCTATGTCTGCGACAAAATTCATAGAGTACTTTTGTCGCTTAATTTATCTTGCATGGTTTTTTTTAACAATAGTAATTTCCCTATGACTTAGAACAACAAAATAGATGATTATTCATAATATGCTTTAATTGAGCAGATAATTGCAAAAGATTTTGTTTCCACACAAATTGTATCGTAAAGAGGGGTAAGAAGAATTTTCTTCTTCAACGACAAAATGTCGCTTACTAGACTCAACGACATTTGTTTCGCTTTGGTTCATGATGAAATTCTATGTTTTAGAACGACTAAATTATCACTCATCTGATTGTTTCTGTACAACCATTTTTTAACAGTGTAGTCTTAAAGAAGTGTGACCGCTGGAACGCTGATCATACTGTTTTGATTGTATCAATCCAAGGTTTGCCTGGATCTCTGTTGAAGTGCGCAAGCCTGGGAATAAAAGTTTTCATCCCAAGAATCAATCATTTTCCTAACCAAGCTTTATGTTTACTCTTTTAGACGGAAGCAATCTTTATTTGACAACAGTCCTTGACTGACTACAATTTACCGTTATGCGCAGAAGCGCTCGATGAAACAAACACGCTCCCAACCGAAAACGAGGTTATTCTTACTGAAAATTTTAGTTGTTCCTTGACGACCATTCATGGTCTCTCCTATGGAATGAGTGAAGGAACTTGGATGAAAATACCACCAAATTCTGATGAAACTATCATCATTTGTAAGTGAAGAAAATGCTATGGACTTTCTCGTAATAGAGCGACGTGAAATTTTCACAGTGTGTGATGACTTATTAATACTTTATTCGTGATTCTTGCAGTAACAATCGCTAAGAACGCCGGTGTTTCGAGCGTTTTTTTCGAAAGGGGCCGTAACAAAGAATAACTCAATCGGACCTGCACCAAATTCGGGGAACACTTTTGAATCTTACCCAGGCTTTTTAAAGCCCTCATTTGCGGCGATTTCCGCGAGGGCTTTGTTGAGAGCGACTGTCACTGCTGCTGCCGACATGGTTGTGAGCCTACTGCCTCGAGCTCATACCGCTCCGCCCTATATGTGCTTTACGTTTCAGCGCTTTACTATCGAGACACTATTATCAGGATTCGTATTTTTCCCGGCTGTATTTCGCTCTGGTTGCACCACGGAACGGGTCAGGGTCAGGCCCCGCTTTTATCAGATCTAATCTCATGCCTTTAACTCGTACTTCCCGGGATAGAAACAGTGATAACACACTCCTGAGCGCAGGCAGAGAAGGGCAGGGTCGACATGCCCGCGAAATTGGTTTGATCACTTGGCGGACAAGCTTAAGGTGCACACAGTGGCTCTGAGTTAAGAGGAGCCATGCAGGGGCAAAATGCGATGTTTTGCCTCCGTCACCGCCCTGCATGCGCGCCTGTGCTTTGAGCAAGGTACGAACTACACTGAGATTCCAAACGCTATGGATATAGAACGTATGGTGCAATGCAGTGAGATATAGCACCTTACGTGCAGTGCGTCCCGAAAAAGTCCAAATGCTGATGCGTAGAATGGAATTTGAGGGAGGGGGGCTGCACTTCATGTGCAATGCTTTTGCATTGCATCAATTGACGCAATATTCATGGCGTTTGAATTCTCAGTGTTTTCATAGTTTGGTGTACAAGGAAATAGTTACACGAAGCATTTTCTTTGAAAGCTTTTAATCAGAACAGGGCTTTTCGCTTCTTCATGAATGGAAACCCGTTGCAGTGGATGTAAAGAGCAATGGAGGGCGTGTTGGGCCCGAAGAACATTCTCGGGCCGATTCTGGATCCGCCCCTAGCCGACCAGCTCGTCTTAGTGGCCCTTTGGGTTCAGGCAGTCCACGAGGGCCTCGGCCTCCCTGATGGTGGCCGGGTCGCGAGTCGCTCTGGCGCAGTTCAGGAAGTCGGCGTCACGGTTGGCTGGGGGCAAGAACAGGGCAGCCAAATTAAGCCACACTGGTATAACTAAAGCGTAACTCTCTGCTTGAGTCAAGCATAAAGTTACGCTTGAAGACATTACGCTTGAAATGAAGCTTACTCACGAGATTCCCCTATGCATTTAGATAGGGGGAAACTTGGCGGCTGAGCCTGTTACGCTTGAAAACAGTGGGTATTACCACGCTTCAGTTCTAACAGTGTAAGTCTCGCACTCTGCAAACTTCAGTGCATAGTTGCAAGCCCACACTTTTCGGGCTGAGCGACAGCAATAGGGTATGCCGATAGGGTACTGCAATGAATCTTGAAACGGGAGAAAAAGAACGAAGGTAAGCCCCAAAAACTGCTTCTGCGCATGTGCAGACGTTCCCCCCACCACCCGGTGCGCATGCGCAGAAGCTGTTTTTATGGATTACTTTTGTTACCTTCTTCCATTTTAAGATTCATTGGGAAACCCTGTGAATCTAGAAACGGAAGAAGGGACACCTGAAGCAGTTTTAAGGGCTTACCTTCGTTCTTTTTCATCCTTTCCAAGATTCATTGCAGTACCCTATTCCCTTCCTTCAGTCCTGCCGAAAAACTGCACACCGTGTCTTGTAACAGGCTTTGCTATGCTGCGTCAGTTACGTTAATCCACCCCTGGCGTGTACACCTACTCTGGCCTGCGGCGCTTCCTGCTAAGATTTGATACAATTCGCTCACTTTTTGGACTTCGTGATACTGACATCTGACTTTGATACATCCAAACTACCTTATGATTTGCCTTGAGATCACACTGCAAATCCAAGTGTAGGACAGGTCGACACTTTAAAGCGTAGACCAGTTTGTCCTACGCTTGCAAGTGTCGACCAGTTGTGTCCGACGCTTCGAAGTGTCGACCACACTGTGTCCGACGCCTGCATGTGTAGGACACTGTTTGTCCTACGGCAAATGACACTGAGTTTCCTATTGTGACCCCACACTTCAGCCGTCGGACATTCTGTGGTCGACACTTGCAGGTGTCGGACAGTGTGTGGTCGACACTTCAAAGCGTCGGACACAACTGGTCGACACTTGCAAGCGTAGGACAAACTGGTCTACGCTTTTAAGTGTCGACCTGTCCTACACTTGGATTTGCAGTGCAAATGCATATGGACTCTTGGTACGCAACTGTTGCCTTATTTTCGCAGTAGTAAGTTATGGACAAATTCGTTCAGTTACAGTCTTGAATAAACCGAAGCACAGTGTAGAGTGTTCATTATCGTGTCACATTGCTAAAAGCTAGCTTATTGCCTACATACATGGATTATGGCAATACTTGTGGAAAAGTTCATAAACGTTTAGTGTGTACAAGAAATATATCTTGTGTGATTTCACTTATAGGGCGAATCCAGGTCAACTTGAACGGGGTTTGACCCCGACCCCCTCAGAACTTGCTCCAAACAGTCTTAATTCATTGGTCTTTACCTAAAACCACCCCCAAAAAAATTTGGTTGAAAAATATTAACATTTGGCTGAGCTGTGGCACTTTTTGTTTTTTGGTCAATTTTAGTGAAATTAGTACAATGAAAATTTGAAAAAACAATTTTTTCTCGAAATGGGGATTTTTGAGGCCTGGTTTGTTTGATATGAGTTGTCTTATGATAGACCAATGCAATTCCGGTCATAGACTCCACCTCACTCAATTTGCACTGGAGGCTGAAGAATTTATAGTAATTTTAGCTAAAAATCGAAATATTAAACCTTGCCCCACCTTTCAAAATTCATTTCTATGCATGAAAATCTACCTTAGGGCCCTGGCAATAACATATAAAAAATCTGGGATGGATTTTTTTATTTTAAGGAAATCGTTACAGAAAGCGCTACTTTTGACTTGTCGATTTAGCTAAAACGCATGAAATTTCACCAAATGTAAAGTACGATGAGGTCAATCTTGCTATTTTAGTCTCTTTATGCAGTATCAGAGGCAAATGGAGTTTGAGGGGAGTAAAAAAGAACATAAATACAATTTGCAAATGTACTACAAACACCAACTTTTGACAGCTTCTTAATAGGAAGTCCAAGAAAATATAATACGTAATAATCAAGTGGATCTGGCGTAATTGTTAATCGATTTTCACCTTTTACTTCTGCTGTCTGTCTCATTTTTGTCCACTTCTGTCCTGTCTTTTGTGTCTGGAGGGAATGCCGATTCTTATTGTTGAGCCTCCAAATCAATTTGGTGATGGAACCCAAACGGCCAACTCAACTCGAGACGGAACCAACCATAGAGAGTAATTCCAGCCCATGGTGGAACAAAATCCGGGTTTGGGTCACGGAATCGGTTCAAGATTTGTTGGGTCAATAGGTACCAGTAGGACATATCAACCCTAGGTTAGGGTGATTAAATTTTAAGAAATTGCTTTAGATTTTCCATTTCCGATCGAAAATAGGTGCATTACCTGTGTGAAATTACCTGTGTGAAACCTGTGTGAAATTTGGTTTCGGTAGCTCAAGTCCTAAGCGAGGCACAGGGGGTCTAAAGATTTGGCTATTTTGAACGGCGCGCGCGACACGGCTTCCGGTGTTGGCGCGCCGTACGCATGCGCGTAGCTGCGTAGGTTATGGGTTATGTTCGTTTGTGTTATTCGCATCTTACATTTAGACTCGTCTAGGTGTTCTAGTTAATTGCCGTGTATTTTACGACCTATGTGCCCCGAAATATGAGACGAGATTGGCAACAAACACACCACAGCAACGCCTAAACACCTCTGCGCATGCCCGCTGCGCTTCGCTACCGGAACCCATGCCGCGCGCGCCGTTCAAAATAGCCAAATCTTTCGGCGCTCTGTGCCTCGCTTTAGCCTTAAACTATCGAAACCAGATTTTGCACACGTTCTAATGAGGCCTCAATGCAACTATTTTCGATCGGAAATGGAAGAAGTCCGAAACCCCTAATCACCCTACCCTAGGTGCAAAGTGGGCTAGCTCAAAGGTCACTTGAGATGTCAGACAGCAGAAGTAAAAGGTGAAAATCGATTTACAATTACGCCAGATCCACTTGATTATCACGTATTATATTTTCTTGGACTTCCTATTAAGAGGATGCTTTACCCGCGGCCGGGAGTGGGGATTCGCGCCCCCGGCGGGCGGCAGGCGCGCGTTGCACCGATGCAAATGTAACGTCGCCGTGGCTTCAATTTTGATCCGATTGTCACGAAACTTGGCAGACGCGTTCGTGATGCCCTGAGGCAGCCCTCTCTCGTTTTTGCCGCGTTCGAAACCGTTCATTTGATCATTTTTGAACATTTTCGTTCAATAGGTTTCGGCCAAAGCAGCTCAGTTTGCGGGGCAGTATCCCAAAATCGGAGATCGTGGTGAGATGCGCGCTGAAGTTTTAAGTAGCTTCCCGCAAACGGATCGGCAAAATAGTGAACGACCTCGCTGAAATCTTTAAAATACAAACGCCCTGCAGCGGCGTGGACGGCGTGGATCAGCCCGGCCCGGCTGGAGCGGCTCGCCACGGCCTGGTGCGGAGCCCCCTCGCACCCGAACCCCGCAGCGCAAGCCCACCCCCACTCCTCCGCCGCCTAGGCCAGCCGAGGAAGCGGGGGCAGGGGGGAGGTGACAATAGGTGCATCCGCACGTGCAGTTTTGTTTCACTCGCACCCGCAGGAGAATAGACAGAGATGTGAGCGACAAGAACGCGACCCTCCGAGCCGGGCGAGGAGGCCCCGAAACTGTCTGCCCGATCGCCGGCCGCCGGACCGCAGAGATTTCATGAATTATGAGAACAGGGCCAAAATCAACCTTTTCACGAAAAATCGTAGTTGCGCGTTTCGAGTCACGCTGATTATTTCTATACCCATCTCTAAAAACCCAGTTCGGGACCTGATCGCCGCTTCCTTCTTTCACCAGAGCCAAATTAAAGGGCCAAATTAGAATGGTCCAGAACTTATGAAATCAAGTGTTCTTTTATTTTCTGCCCTGCCGACCACTATTTGAACAATGGTTGCTCAAAGTTGAAAACACTGCTCCTAATACCACTAGAATGCTTTATCTATTTGACCTAGAGGCAAGCAAGTATCACGAGACGATGCAGAAAACTATGTTTAACAACTTTTATTTTGCATCCAATTCGATAAACCGCCTGACAGATTGATCAAACGGTAAAATATGTATGTATCAAAATCAC